CCGGGTCTCCCACGCGGGTGCAGGGTCCCAAGGCTTTGGGCCGTCCTCTGCTGCTTTCCCAGGCCACAGGCAGGGAGCAGGATGGGAAGTGGAGCTGCCGGGATTAGAACCAGCGCCCAAATTGGGATCCCAGTGCGTTCAAAGTGAGGCCTTTAGCTGCTAGGCCACTGCACTGGGCCCTCTTAATCTTTTTAGAGATTTATTTTATTGTTTGAAAGACAGAGTTACAAAGTGAACAGAATGAGGGCAAGAAATAAGAAAAATCTTCCCTCTGCTGATTTCTCTCCATATGGCCACCATGGCCAGAGCTGGGCTGGACTGAAGCCAGGAGCCAGGAGCCTCATCCAGGTCTCCCACATTGGCGCAGGGGCTCAAGCACGTGGACCATCTTCTACTATATTCCCAAGCACATTAGCAGGGCGCTGCGTTGGAAGTTGAGCAGCTGGGATTTGAACCAGCACCCATGTGAGATGCTGTTGTTGCAGGCAGTAGCAAGACAACGCAGGACCAAGGGCTGCTTTGTCAGAGCCTGTAGGTGCCTCTGGGGCTGTGTGCTGGAGGACTGTCCCCCAAGGCAGGGTCTCCTGGAGGGGGCGCTGTACTGAGAGCACCTAGCAGGAGCTCCCTGGGGCAGGTGACCAGTGCCAGAAGCAGTGGATTCCACACTCGGAAGGCAGGGACCTCGTGTGCCTACCTTGGATAACTCTGCCGTTTGTTTCACCTTGAGGCGGGACCACCCCGCGGGCAGGAAGCTCTCCATAGACGGTGCACATCAATCAGTAACACAATTCTGCTACAATCCTCATTCTACAGCTTAATCTTGAATCAGTTAAGGGAGGAAACGCATCGCAGAAGGAGGGACCTAAAGATCAAGGGAAGAGGGAAAGAAGAGAATCCCACCACACCGCAGGACTGAACACCCTTGATTAGCAGATGGCCGATGGGGGCAGCCGAGACAGCATGAATAGTAAAAGACCCTTTTGCTAAGACAGTATCCGCAACATCAACTTCCAAGTTCACATTGATAGAAAAGACCAACTCCACGGTGGCAGAGCATGCCTAAATAGGTTACAGAATTCCCGGCGGGGCTGTCCGGTGTCCGTGCAAAGGGAGGCGGAATGCCTTCGGGTGGATGCGGAGACATCCGCCGGCGTTGCTGTGCACCGGGAAACTCCTTCCGGCCCTGCCTGCAATGGGATAGCTCTTTTCTCACATTTGTGTCCTCCACACCCACCACATGGACCCTAGCAATTTGCCTTTCAAATATTATCAACATTCTAACAAAAAAAGGAAAGGAATCCATTCTGTTCTTTTTTTTTTTTTTAAGATTTATTTATTTTTATTGCAAATACAGAGAGGAGGAGAGACAGAGAGGAAGATCTTCTGTCTGCTGGTTCATTCCCCAAGTGACCGCAACGCCAATCTGAAGCCAGGAGCCAGGAGCTTCTTCCGGGTCTCCCATGTGGGTGCAGGATCCCCCCTCTTTGGGCTGTTCTCGACTGCTTTCCCAGGCCACAAGCAGGGAGCTGGATGGAAAGTGGAGCAGCCGGGATTAGAACCGGCGCCCACAAGGTAAGGACTTTAGCCGCTAGGCCATCATGCCGGGCCTCTCCATTGTTCTTTCTTAACAAATGGAGTTCTTGAACGGTAACTTAAGCAATGTAGGGCCATCTGCTGGCAGTATGGTAGAGTGGCTCACAGTGAGGACAGGAATGCAGGGACACCCCCTGGAGGCCGCGCCGCCTTCTTGTGTCTCCTCAGGTGAACTACCCTGGCTTTTCCAGAGCGTCCTGTGTCGTGCCAGCAGCTCTGTGTGCTACATGTCCTGGGCCTGGAGACCGGGTCAGCGTCCCCTCTGCTCTCATTTCATCCCATCTGGGGCCCGGTGCAGTGGACTAGCGGCTAAAGTCCTTACCTTGAACACGCTGGGATCCCATATGGGCGCCGGTTCTATCCCGGTGGCCCCACTTCTCTTCCAGCTCCCTGCCTGTGGCCTGGGAAAGCAGTCGAGGACGGCCCAAAGCCTTGGGACCCTGCACCCACGTGGGAGACCCGGAAGAGGTTCCTGGCTTTGGATCGGCGAAGCATGGGTCATTGCAGTCACTTGGGGAGTGAATCATCAGATGGAAGATCTTCCTCTCTGTATCTCCTACTCAATGTATATCTGACTTGCCAATAAAAATAAACTTGAAAAAAATAAAATGAGAAGAAGTTAATAAACACACACACACATATGAAAAATACCTTGTGCAGCTTCCGACTCAGCCAAGGAGCCCCAGGCCCGGGGCCGTGGCCATCGCCTCCCTGCTGCCCCCTCACCTCCTCGCAGGCCATTCCTCCCGAGGCTCACCTGAGCAGGCGGCCACCTGCTTGCTCAGCTTTGCAGCCTCTGCGTCCCCACGCCCCTCTCCAGGGAGCTGCCTCGGCCACGCCTCGCTGACAGCTGCGCCCTGCCTCCTTCTGCCTCTTTCCCCTCTGTGTATTCTGAAGGGTTTACCCATTGCGCTCCAAATCCTCAAAATTTTAAAGTCCCCAGAGTGGAGCCTAGCGAGTCTTCTGTTCCGCCCTGGGTGGGAGCATCTGGCAGGCTGCGCGCTGACTCATGACCTGGGAGCAAAGCCGGGCGCTGTCCCCTGACAAGATACCCCCGGAGACAATAAAGATGGCCAGAGAGAGGAGCCCTTGCACCGGGCAGCTGGCCCAGCGTCACCCACTCCCGGGACAACCCTTAGTTGAATCGCACCTGCAGGGCAACTTGGTGTCTGAGCAGGACTGTGCAAAGTCTCTTCCTGCGTGTCTCAGGCACAAGGGTGGACGCCCAAGGCCCCGGCAGCGCCCTCATGGCACAGTCATCTTGCTGGCCACCACTGAGCCCGGCTGTATAGCTCTTCCCCTCAGACCGCTGTTGGAACCCTTTACTCTGTCCTCTCACTTTTTTTTTTTTAATTTTTAAATTTTTATTGGAAAGGCAGATATACATAGAGGAGGAGAGACAGAGAGGAAGATCTTCCATCCATTGATTCACTCCCCAAGTGAGTGCAACGGTCGATGCTATGCCGATCCGAAGCCAGAAGTTCCTTCCGGGTCTCCCACACGGGTGCAGGGTCCCAAGGCTTTGGGCCGTCCTCGACTGCTTTCCCAGGCCACAAGCAGGGAGCTGTTTGGGAAATGGAGCTGCTGGGATTAGAACCGGCGCTCATATGGGATCCTGGCTCATTCAGGGATGAGGACTTTAGCCGCTAGGCCACGCCGCCGAGCCCAGAGGAAGATCTTCGGATGATTCACTGCCCAAGTGACCACAGTTGGTGGAGGTGAGCTGATATGAATCCAGGAGCCAGGAGCTTTTTCCAGGTCTCCCACATGGGTCCAGGGTCCCAAGGCTTTGGGCTGTGCTTGACTGCTTTCCCAGGCCACAAGCAAGGAGCTGGATGGGAAGCAGGGCCGCTGGGATACAAACTGGCACCCATATGGGATCGCAGCGCATTCAAGGCAAGGACTTTAGCTGCTAGGCCATCACACTGGACCCACCTCATGTTAACTTTTTTTTTTTTTAAAGATTTATTTTATTTTTATTGGAAAGGAGAGACAGAGAGGAAGATCTTCCGTCCGATGATTCACTCCCCAAGTGAGCGCAACGGCCGATGCTATGCCGATCCGAAGCCAGGAGCCTCTTCTGGGTCTCCCACGCGGGTGCAGGGTCCCAAAGCCTTGGGCCGTCCTCGACTGCTTTCCCGGGCCACAGGCAGGGAGCTGGAAGGGAAGTGGGGCCACCGGGATTAGAACCGGCGCCCATATGGGATCCTGGGGTGTGCAAGGCGAGGACCTTTAACCACTTGCGCCACCGCGCCGGGCCCATCATGTTAACTTTTTTTTTTTTAAAGATTTATTTTTATTATTTTTTCATTGGAAAGGCGGATATACAGAGAGGAGAGACAGAGAGGAAGATCTTCCGTCCGATGATTCACTCCCCAAGTGAGCGCAACGGGCCGATACTATGCCGGTCCGAAGCCAGGAGACTCTTCCGGGTCTCCCACACGGGTGCAGGGTCCCAAAGCTTTGGGCCGTCCTCGACTGCTTTCCCGGGCCACAGGCAGGGAGCTGGAAGGGAAGCGGGGCTGCCGGGATTAGAACCGGTGCCCATATGGGATCCCGGGCGTGCAAGGTGAGGAGGACCTTTAACCACTTGCGCCACCGTGCCGGGCCCCATCATGTTAACTTTTAAAACATGCTATCTTACTTGTTTAAAGATGCATTTATTATTTCAAAGGCAGAGTCACCGAGAGAAAGAGGGAAGTAGAGACAGAAACAGGCTTTTCATATGCTGGTTTATTCCCCAAATGGCTGTGCCAGGAGTAAACCAGGAGCCTGGAGCTGCCTGCCTGTCTCCTGGGTGGGTGCAGGGGCACAAGGACTTGGGCCATCTTCCACTGCTCCTCCAGGGGGCACTAGCAGGGAACTGGATTGGATAGGAAGCAGCCAGAACATGAACCGACACCCATAAGGGATGCTGGCGGTGCAGGTGGATTTGCCCCATATAGAGATCCTATTCATTGGCTCACTGCCTGGATGACTGCAGTGGCCACTGCTGGGCCAAAATGCAGTGTGGACCTCTCCTGTGCACATCAGCGGTAAGCGGCAGTTAGGCACCGGAGCCAGGGGTTGAGACAGGATACAGGGCCTGGCCACGAGGCTAGCTGCCTAGCCCCTTCCCTCTTGTTTTGTCATTGCCTGAGTCAGATTCTCATCTGGATCTCCAAAGTCCCAAAGGCCCCGGGAGGGGATACCGCAGGCTGACGCGCGGTGTGCCGCTCTGGCGCACGCGTGGCTCTTCAGAGCATGAGGCAGGTGTCGTTCTGGTCGCTTGCAGAGGAGGCAGCCGCAGCCCAGGACCGGTGCCGGGGCCCAGGTTACAGGGACAACTGCCTGCCCCGCTGCAGGGGACACCCTGACCTCTCCCACGTGGCCAGCGACAACTGGTGCCCAGGAGCCGGGCCTGCAGCATGTCCAGGCAAGACCTGAGGTGAGTTCTGGCTGGCTCACCCGGCTTCCAGCTGCGGCACGAGCTGAGTCCAGCAGAGGGCGGGTCTGCGTAGTCCCAGGCACACCCGTGCACGCGCATGCCAGGTGCTGGAGCCGGCCGCCGCACCTTCCCAGATGGCAGGATGCCAGCCGCAGCTCTCATCGCTGTCACAATGTTTCCTGCTTGTTTGTCCAGACTGCAGCTAGTGTTGGCCCTTCCCACTTGAGTCTGAGAAAGCTTCATTGGCGAATGCTCAGTTTATTAAAAGTTCCCCACTTAGCCAAAGGGTTGCAACATGTGCTGTGTGGCTCAACCTTCCACTGAACTGGGAGCATCTCCCTGCTTGCACCTGCTTAGCCTCTGCTGATCGAAGCCCTGACCATTCTATCAGCCAGGACCCTCCCTGGCCCCCTGTATTTGCTCATTCAACCCCAGAGCCAACCTGCTAGAGTCAACAGCAGAATAAGGGCTTGGGCTTGGCCTGGCCTGAACTCCAAATGGCCTCCACCGTGGCCACGAGGGCGAGCCCAGAAGCCCCTGGAGGCAGCTCGGAAGAGGATGCTCTGCGGAGCCCTGTGTCCTGCCAAGAGCTCCAGGGTGCTGAGTTGGCTCTTTGCCAGAAGCCCCTGGGGTGTCCCAGCTCTGCAGGCAGCTCCCCATGGGTCTGGACCACGCTTCAGGCCTGGCATGTACAGTCCTCCAGGAAGAACTAGCCGGGTCCTGAGCCTAGAAGGGCAGGGTTGAGGAATGAGGCCGGTGGAACAGCCATCTCTACCCGCCCCTGTACCCCTGGCCAGCCTGCTTTCCTCACTGCTCCTATCTCCTCTGGGCCCAGTCTCGCGGCCAAGCTCATCAATGGAGGAGTGGCGGGGCTCGTGGGCGTCACGTGTGTGTTCCCCATCGACTTGGCCAAGACCCGCCTGCAGAACCAACACGGGAAGGATTCATACAAGGGAATGTAGGTGCCAGCGTGGCAGAAAGGGGGCGGGCACCCCTGGGAAGGCTGTGGGGGCCTTGCTCCTTCCAGATACTCCCCAGGGTGTGTGAGCAGGGGGTGCATGTGGGGAGGGGGTGGGCTGGGATGGAAGCGAGCTTCCGGGCACTCATGGGCATGCCTGGCCTCTGCCTCCAGGATCGACTGCCTGGTGAAGACCGTGCGGGCCGAGGGCCTCCTGGGCATGTACCGAGGTGAGCCCGGCAGGCAGATCAGGGATCTTAGGGGAAGCCTGGCTCTCCTCTGGGGTGTGGTGAGGGGCTTCAGCGCATGTGAGCAGGGCAACAGTTGCCAAGGGGCCCGGGGCAGGCAGAGGCAGTCCTGCCTCGTGATGGAGCCCTGCAGGACCCCAGCAGGTGCAGCATGGGGCCCAGGGGCACTGGGCTAAAAGGCAGGCCAGCCAGCCCTGTCCCCTTCCTTCCAGCCTCAGTTCTTGCCCCCGCAGGGTACCAAGACTTCCAGCTATTTAGAGAGGTCACGGGAGTTTTCCGGCATGCCCCAGTGCCACGGCCATGGCCGGCAGAGTCCCTCCCACGGTTGTGGCCATGGCTTTGAAAATGGGTCCAAAGTCACTGTTAGAAGCCTGGGCCTGCCAGTGCCCCGTGGCTCTTCCGGGCTGCTGCTTTGCCAACAGAGGTTTGATGAAGAGGACAAGGTGGGCATGAGAGGCGGAGAGAAGGGGCAGACCCAGTACAGCCTGAAGCCCTCAGCTGGGCTCCCCTCCCGCAGGCGCTGCGGTCAACCTCAGCTTGGTCACCCCGGAGAAGGCCATCAAGCTGGCAGCCAACGACTTCCTCCGGCAGCGGCTCCTGGGAGATGGGTATGGCCCACCCGGGGGTCGAGGGATGAGGGGAGGCAGCGGGCAGCGGGCAGCGGGCAGCGGCTGTTTACCCTGACCTGCACGTGGATGTGAATGGGGGAGTCTTCAAGAAGCGCGTGTGTGAATTTTCCAATTATAAAAAGACTATCCATGGACTTCAAAATGTTGCTGTGTCCAAATAAATTTTTTCAGATATATTTATTGGGAAGGCAGAGGACTGAGATTTTTTTTTTAAAAGATGTTTTTATTTTTATTGAAAAGGCAGATTTACAGAGAGGAGAGACAGAAAGATCTTCCGTACACTGGTTCAACTGCCCAAGTGGGCGCAAGAGCCGGAGCTGCACCCAGCTGAAGTCAGGAGCCAGGAGCCAGGAGCTTCTTTCAGGTCTCCCACGTGGTTTCAGGGTCCCAAGGCTTTCCCAGGTCACAGCAGGGAGCTGGATGGGAAGTGGAAGATGGGATATAAACCAGTGCCCATATGGGATCCCAGTGTACACAAGGCAAGGAGTTGAGTCACTAGGCTACTGCACCGGGCCCACAGCAAAGCCAGCAGTTCCATCCTGGTCTCCCACACGTGTATCAGGTGCATGAGTAGGAAGCTGGACAGGAAGTAGAAAATCCAGGACTTGAGTCACACAGTGTGATCTGGGATACAGAAGTCCTAAGCAGCATCTTTAAACCGTCATTTACTTGTAGGTGGGGCCGGCACTGTGGCAGAGCGGAAGAATCTACAATGTCGGGATTCCACATAGGCACTGGGTCAGCCACCAGCTGCTCCAAGGGTCTCTAAACCCACGTGGGAGCCTGGGCAGAGGCTCCTGGCTGCAGCCTGGCCCAGCCCCGGCCGTGGGAGCCATTTGGGGAGTGAACCAGTGATTGAAGCCTCTTTGAAGCTCTGCTTTTCAAATAAAGAGAAAATCAATTTTAAAAACGAAGTTTTAATAATAATAAAAAGATTCACTTATTTGAAGACAGAGCAGCAGAACCAAAGAATCTCCCATTTGCTGGTTCTCTCCCTAAAAGATCTTAACAGGCAGGTCGGGGACCGCTTGAAGCCAGGAGCCAGGAACTCTAGTCTCCAACGTGGGTGTTGGCAGCCCAGCGCCGTGGGCGCCTTCTGCCGCTTTGCCCAGGTCCATCAGCAGGCACTTGGTCGGGATGAGCGGCACCTGGGCTTCAAGCTGGTGATCTGACACGGGACGTGGGCGTCCTGAGCGGCGGCTTCATCTGCTGTGCCACTCAATATTCGTTTCAAACTGTTAATGTATTTCAGAGTCAGAAACTCTAAGACACACAGACAGTAAGACACGGAGTTCTCCTCTTCTGGCTCCGTCTCCATATGCCCTCAACAGCAAGAACCGGGCCAGGCTCGAGGCAGGACCGGGGACGCCCAGTCTCCCAAATGGCTGGCCGGGCCCCAGCAGTGGGGCCATCTTGTGCAGGGACCTGGGTCGGAAGTGGGACAGCCAGGGTTCCTAACTGGCATTTCAACATGGGAAGCAAGCATCGCAAGTGGCAACGTAAGGGTTGGTGTCCGTGTAGTGGGTACAGCTACGGTCTGCAACAGCAGCTTCCACTGGGATGCTGGTTCGAGTCCTGGCTGCTCTGCTTGTCATCTAGTTCCCTGCTAATGTGCCCGGAAAAGCAGCAGAAAATGGCTCAAGTGTTGGGAGCCAAAAGGGGGATCTGGAAGATGCTCCTGGCTCCTGGCACTGGCCCGGCTCAGCCCTAGCTGTTGCAGCCATTTAAAGAGTGAACCAGGGCATTGCTTCTCAGCCTTTTGGCTAACATCAAGTGTGACGGGTGAGCCAGTACGCGGAAGTGCCCTCAGCCCGTTAACTGTGCCTTAAAAAAAAAACAAACAAAACTTAGAAACGAAACAGCAAGTGGCAGCATACTGCACTGCACAACAGCAGCCCCTGCATAATCTTTACAAAAGACAAGGTTGGAGAGACAGACAGAAAGAGCTCCCATCCCCCGTTCACTCCTCAAGCACACAGAACAGCAGGGGCAGAACCCAAACCGGGAGCTGGGCCTGCCAGCCAGGTCGGCCTGCCAGCCAGGTCGGCCTCCCCGGAGTGTGCCAGGAGCCCAGCCCCGGAGCCATCTGCAGAAGCAGACAGCTGAACGCATTGGGCTGCGATGCCCGGGGCTGGGCCAGGCCAAAGCTGGAACGCTGGCACTCTCCCACATGGCCGCTGGGCTCCAGGCACTCAGGTCATCGTGTGTGCCTGAGCAGGGAGCTGAGTGCGAGCGGAACAGCTGGGGCTTGCCCTGGCGCTCCTGTGGGATGCTCCATTTGCGCTGTCAGCCCGCAAACTTATCCTTCATCTTCCATGATTCTTTTGGAAGTCCTTCATAAATATGACGACTTACGGCTGAGCTGCTGTGAGGGGAGAATGTGCAGGTATAATCTGAAAGGGAGACATAGAATACACGGCGTGCACACAGATCGCTACTGACCAGCTCCCCACATGCTCTTTCTGCATCTCCTGCTGCCCGAGTGACCGACCACCTAACGAAGCAGAGAATCCAGTCTCCGCCATGGGCTGTTTCAAACTTACTAAGGGCTCAGCGTGATAGCCTAGTGGTTAAATCATTGCTTTACATGTGCCAGAATCCCATATCAGCACTGGTTTGTATCCCAGCTGCTCCACTTGTGGCCTGGGAAAGCAGTCAAGCACGGCCCAAAGCCTTGGGCTGCTGCACCCACGTGGGAGATCCGGAAAAAGCTCCTGGCTTCTGGTTGTTGCGGCAACTTGGGGAGCGAACCAACAGACGGAAGATCTTTCTCTGTTATCAATTTCTCTGTGTATGTCTTTCCTATAAAAAAGTCTTTAATAAAAAATTTACTCTTGTGCTGAGCCTGGGGGTCAGGTGATCATTTGCCAACCTCGGGGAGTGGCCAAGAATGCAAAACCCCAGTGCCCGTGCGAGGGCAGGTGTGGCTGGGGGAGGCAGGTCTGAGACGGAGGGCTCCCACGCTGACCCCGCAGGACGCAGCAGAACCTCAAGCTGGAGATGCTGGCCGGATGTGGAGCAGGGCTGTGCCAGGTGGTGGTCACGTGTCCCATGGAAATGCTCAAGATCCAGCTGCAGGACGCAGGCCGCTTGGGTGAGCTCATCTCGACTTCCTATGGGGTGAGGACCCGTGACCCCCGTGTACAGCACACCCTGCCAACACTTCCGGACAGCAAGGATGAGATCCTGATTCTGGAGGCGCTGGTCCTCTGTGACTCAGTGTTAAGACTGCACGTCTGTGGGGTAACTGGCGCAACCACCCTGCTTGGGGGGGACACACACTGCCCCACTAGAAGCTGACAACACTGGGGGTACAGAGGTGGGGGTGGGAAGGGACATGATCCTGTCCTTTTAACAAGCAGTGAAATTAAAAAAAAAAAATCACACAATCTCAGGGTGTTAAGGTGTTAAGTGCTATGATCATTAAGGGAGTTCTCATCTTCAGTGTTTTTATTAAAATGCTCAGGAAAAACCAATTCCCTTGTAATCTTGTGACACTGAGCCAGCACAGGGCCCGGCTCTGCCATCTTGTGGCCAGGCGCTCCTGTGCAAGACTAGCGCCCCCTGCAGGACCCCAGGAGAGTCTGTCCATGGCGACAGGTCTGTCCTGTCCTTCCAGCTGGGCATCAGGAGACGCCAGCCTCTTCCGGGTGCTATGCCCCTGGCTCAGCGACCGCCCACGAGTGCCCGTCTGCCACTCGCATTGCCAGGGAACTGCTTCGCACCGAGGGCCTGGCTGGCCTGTACAGGGGACTGGGGGCCACTCTCCTCAGGTAAGCCTTTCTCCCTGGCCCCCAGCGGGCAGAGGGCATGGCAGCCCATTCTGCCAGGTTCTTCTGGCACCTGCTGCCAGGCTTCCTGCTTTCTCCAGACATGGCCAGGGTGGCACGGTGAGTACCTGAAGGTACTCCTTCCCCGGTGACCTCGCCCACTGGGGCCTTGGGTATTTGGTGACCAATGCCAGCTACAAAGTACGAGGGGACCAGCATCACCTCACTGCCTACTTGGCGGTTCCTCCCTCTGTCCCCTGCCCATCCCTTCCCCAGGACGGCGCTGGGCGGGGTGGAAGGGCTGGTCTCTGCAGTGCCCACCAGGTGGCGTGGGCACTGTGCTCACCGCGCCCAGGCTCCGCCTCCTCCTCCTCCGCAGGGATGTCCCTTTCTCCATCATCTACTTCCCGCTGTTTGCCAAGCTGAACAGCCTTGGCTTCAACGAGCTTGCCGGGAAGGCTTCCTTTGCCCACTCCTTTGTGTCAGGCTGTGTGGCAGGTTCCGTAGCAGCCGTGACAGTCACCCCACTGGACGGTGAGTATGTGGCAGAACAGCAACGTGGGGTCCCAGGGTCGGCTTCACTTCCACACCAGGCATTTCTTGCTGAACTTGTGGGTGAGATCAACAGTGCCCTGGGCACTCAGTTCGGGCACAGAAACAGCTCCAACCCTGAAAGTCTGCCTGTGCTGCAACCTGTAGCCATCCCTGCAAACTCATGCAAGGTCCTCGCTGGGAAGTGGGGCTCGGAGACCGCCCCATGTCCTATCGCTGCCACCTCCCTCACCTTCCAGGTGGGGCTGGCAGCCTCAGCGGCATAAAGCGAGAAGGGAACCCTGACTAGGGCTAGGGCAGTTTCTGATTGCTTCAACTTACACAGCAGGCCCAAAGAGGAAGCTCTTCCTTAAAGTCACGCAGTGGCAGAACTGGCCTCGGGACCTGTCCGTGGCGTCTGGAAGGTGAGGGGATGCCGTCAAGGGCAGGATGCTCACTGGTCCGCACCTTTGTTGTAGTTCTGAAAACACGCATCCAGACGCTCAAGAAAGGCCAGGGTGAGGCCGTCTACAGCGGGGTCACTGACTGCGCCAGGTAAGCACCCCCGGGGCCCCGAGCCAGCCTCACTGCTGGGCCCCCTTTCCTAGAACTCAGCCTGCTCCCTCCCCTCTCTAGTAAAGGAGACGGGCTGGGGGTTCTCCTGCCCGAGGTAGCATCTCCCCCAAATTGTTGCTGACAGAGCCCCGGGCCTTGCCCCAGCGGCTGGGTCACGGCTCTGTCGCCTGCAGGGGCGCACCGGGCAGGGTGCAGCCCCTGCACGCCTCTCCCCCGCAGGAAGCTCTGGACCCAGGAGGGACCGTCCGCCTTCCTGAAGGGAGCAGGCTGCCGGGCACTCGTCATCGCGCCACTCTTTGGGATCGCCCAAGGTGTCTACTTCGTGGGAATCGGAGAGCGCGTGTTAAAGGGCTTTGAGTGAAGGCAGCTGGCACTCAGCCCTTTCGCCTGCGGCCTGCTTGCTCAGTTAGAGGCGTGGGGCAGAGGCGAGGCAGCCCAAGCACACACACACTTTTATTTCCTCTGGGTTGTATCCACTCAGAAACCCCTAACCACCCCGCTTCAACAGCACCTCTGGCCACGTTAACTACAGCACCTGTTTAACACGCAGTAAGACTGTACATGGTAACACTTCTAGGTCAGGCTCAAGTTCACACTGTTGACTAAGTTTGAGGAGTTAGCTGTTTTCATCTCGCACTGACTGATGGATCAGGTCAAGGGGAGCACAGCACCCACAGTAAGGACCTGTCACATCCAGGACGGGGCACAGTCACCGGGACAGACTCAATGGGCCGCCTGCGGGAAGGTGGGCAGCCTGCTCGGCACGAGAGACACCCCAGAGCTGCTGCTCCCCTATGTCACTTCCTTCCCCCAAATGACTGCTCACAATGACATCACACAAATGGGACCGAGCCCTAAGGAACCTGCCTTTCCCAGGAGCTTCGTGCCCACCTCAATCAAACCTCGGGCTGACGGGAAAGAGGGTGCTGCACTACCAGCCTTGGTGGCCTCAGGCTCTCGGGATGCTCAGGCCATGCTCCAGCTCTGCCCTGTGCCACCTGCAAGACTGGCAGCACTCAGCCGTCACCTGGAGAGAATGAGCCCCGGAGTGAGGGGGGAAGGATGGCCCTTGGGGGAGGGTTTCCAGCACAAAGCATCCGCCCTCCAAGTTACTTTTCTTGTGCTTCTAAAACTAATAAAGCCAGTTTGCTCAACACAGCTGCACGACTGCGCCAGCGCATGTCACCAGCCCTGCCCGTGGGGGACGTGTGGTGACTCTGGGGGACCAGGGGACTGGGTGGGGACAAGGGGCTCCAGTTCTGCCGACTGCTGTGGATCGCGCAGGGGTCTGGAAGGGACAGCTTTTCCGGACTTCAGGAAGAACTCCACTCTCACGCCTGTTTAGTGTCTTCCACAGAAACCTTTCGTTTTAATAAATATAGCGTACTCATGGCTTAGACTTGAAATCACTATAGCTGGTAGGAGGGTAAACAGGTGCAAGTGGATGAAGCCACTATTTCTAGAAAGATGCACACACTGAGACACAAACAGCCGGGCACCTCACACACAGCACTTGTGCCACGAGACCGGGGGGAGCAGCAGCCCACGCCTGCGCCCTCTCACGGGGCACAGCAGCAACAGAAGGTGCAGCCTCTGTGGGACGGACAGGCAGGTTCTTGATGACCTGACCTTAATCTCGCCCACTGGTTAACAATGAGCTTGAAAGCGTTAGTGACACAATAGTACCTACTGACCGATAAATACAGAACATTAAAACAGCGAAGAGGAAGCTACGTGGATAATCTTGTTTCTTCAAATACCAGAAACTTGTGCATCGCAGTCATGGAACAGAGGGCGTACTGCACCTCCCAAAGCCTTAGTCCATAAACTTCCTGTTGGCATTCGCACCAAACAAAGCTCCCCGTACCTCCGGCATCATCTGTAAGGGAACAGTGACACGGTGAGTCCTGGCTGCACTGAGCTGACGTGCCGCAGCCACCCGGGGCAGCTCACCACCCCAGCCGAGAGAGAGGGGCCGGCGCTAGGGCGCAGAGGACCCCGCCTCACCTCAGTGCCCGTGCCCCCTGCACTGGCTTCCTACCCCAGGCACTTCCTTCCAACCGAGCAGCACGTGGCCCAAGGGGCTGAGCCTGGGCTGGTTTGGACTCTATGGGGAGGGAACCACAGAGATTTCTACCTCTCTGTAGCTCCACCTTTTAAGCAAAGAAATAACTCAATCTTTTTCAGAAAAAGGGACAAAAGAAGAGTGTACAGCTCGGGCCACCCCCTTCCGGGCCCGTGATGCTGGGACGCAGGGAGGAGCAGTATGACCCCAGACCATGCTGCCTCCTTGTCCCTCTCTGAACCCACTTGGACCGAGTGTCCCGTGTGTCAGCAATGACCACACACACAACTTAACAGCGCAACTCTGGGCTGAAGTACTTGTTGTGGCAACTGCTAAACCATTACCCAAACCGCTAAAGCTGCGCCCTCCACTGAGGAAGCCAGCAGCCACCTGTGGCTACCCCGTACTTAATGCTCACGTGGCCTGTCTCAAGGTTCAGGTTACCAAGGTGACACTGAAGGTCAAGGACTTGAGTTTTAAGTACTGGGCCTGGCACAATGGCTCAATTGACTAATACTCCCCCTGCGAGTGCCAGGATGACACATAGGTGCCAGTTCATGCGCTGGCTGCTCCACTTTCCAACTGCTCCCTGCAGTTGGGGACAGCCCAAAGCCCTGACCCTGCACACTCATGGGAGATCCGGAGGAGGCTCCTGGCTCCTGGAGGCTTCGGATCGCCTCAGCTTGGCTACTGTGGCCATTTAGGGAATGAACCAGCAGATGGAAGATCGTTCTGTAAATCTGCCTCTTCCACAAGCAGGAAATTCCACTTGGAGTGTTGGGGAGGAACTCAGCAGCCATACCAGATCACCGCTGCTGAAGCTGCACAGAATTTCAAAGCAACTGAGTTTCCCCCAGCTTGCTTCCAAGAGCTCATCTGTGCAACGGGCCAGCACCTGCCTCGGGATCATTCCCGTGCACCCATCCACAGAGTTCCTGTCCTTCCAGCAGAGGAAGCACTGCCGCCAGCACCTGTGTCTGCAGAAGCACACGCACGGTACACCATCCAGCCGGGGGCCTCCCACGCAAAACACCCCCGTCGAAGCACGAGTGACCAACCCCACATGCCAGGACTCTGTGCCCCCACACGGCTCCCGAGGGACAGGAAGCGGCCCACTCACCTGCTGGGCTATGAGGTCCAGCCGGCTTTCCAGGGTGTTGGAAACCTTTATTTTACGATCGCCGTTATAGATCTCAACTCCACCAGCTCTACAAGGAACACCAGAGAGAGAGAGACATTCAGAGACTGAAGGAAGACAAACATACTCGCGTGCTGACTTTGACTCCCCTGCAGGAGGCAGCTTTAGCACCTGCAGTGGGGTGTGAAACCAAATGGCCAGGGACCAGTACAGTGGCTCAACTGGCTAATCCTCCATCTCCAAGTCTAGGATCCCACATGGACGCCAGTTCACGTCCCGGCTGCTCTGCTTCCCATCCAGCTCCCTGCAGTAGCCTGGGAAAGCTGTGGAGGACGGCCCAGAGCCTTGGGACCCTGCACCCGCGTGGTGGAAGACCCAAAACAAACTCCAGGCTTCAGATCAGATCAGTTCAAGCCGCTGCAGATATTTGGGGAGTGAACCAGCAAGTCTTTTCTCTGTCTCTTCTTCTCTCTGTAAATCTGCCTTTTCCATAAAAGTGAATCACTTACAAAAGTTTAATCCCCCAAATTAGCAAAGATCTCAAGCATTCAGGCCCACAATCCCAAGTGGCCGCAGCGTCCAGTTCTGCTTCCAGCACCCAGCAAACTACAAAGGGCAGGACTCTGCCTCGGGAGCAAGGAGGGATCTACTGAAGAGACAGGGTCCTCATGGGACATTTTTTCCCTTTTTCCTGAAGGTCACTTTGAAAGGCAGAGTGAGAGAAGCAATGAGTTCACCCAATTTCCTGTAAACCTCATTCCTTCCCACCCCGAATAACTATGCAATCATTATTTAAAAAAAAAAAAAAAAAGTTTGCAAAGTTTCTTTGGAAAAGAACCCTCTACCTGTCCCCATCCCATTTCCTTGTTTTTGGGGGGTTTCTGTGAAATGATCAAGCTTTCCTGAAGGCGTCTGATGAGACACTGTCCATGTTGCGCAAGAGGGAAGTGCCACTGCTCGGCAGACGTGAGGGCCAGGGCTTGGCACACGTGCCATCTCATCCCGAGGAACAAGCGGCACTGACGGGCACTTGGCCCGGTGCAGAAGAGAACGCATGGCATGCTGGCTGTCACGCCAGAGTGCCCGAGTTCAAGTCCAGTTCCACCCCCAAAGCAGCTGCCTATGGACGCACACCCTGCAGAGCAAGCCCAGGTTAAGCACTGAGGTCCCGCCGCGCGTGCGTTCTGGGCCTCCAGCTTCGGCTTGGCCTGTCCCTGCTGGCTGCGTGCCTCTGAGAGGGAACCGATGGGAGGAACACGGCCCTGTCCTGATCTGCTACTTCAAAATGCCCACCGTTTTAATGGCAAGTCCACAATCCTGAGCTGCGATCGTGAACTTCAAAAGCTCTCAGAACACAACAGAAGCGAGTCCACACAGCTCCCCAAACAGGCCTAGCCTCTAGGCGCTCCCAGTAGCAGCAAGCAACCCTGACCCGGTCACAGCACAAAGTGCCCATTTCCCTGTAGAGGGATTCGCAGACTGGGGTACGGGGTGCGGCCGGGACTGCATCAGGACAGGCAGTGTACATATGGTATTACTTTTCTACACTCTGAAATGCACAGATTCAAACCCAAATGTGACAGAGCACTGCCCAGGCCGTCGGCCGGCCTGGTTTAGGAAGTGCTTTCGCGTCACTTCATTTCGGATGCAGACGAAAGGCCAGGGCAGCAGCCACCCCGGGCCGCCCAGCCCGACACTGCTGCTCCTTCCGCTCAGCTGCCCAGGGCTCACCTCGCGTCAGCCCGACATGGGACACGCCAGTGGAGGCATGACTCCACTCTCCCCTGTCGGGGACCCTAATGTCTACCCCAACAGGCACCCAGCAGATTCGGGGTGCTAGACCCATAAATGTGCCATTTTCTTGCAGTCAGCCCCTGCTATCTTTAAGGAGCCCAGCTGTCATGCAGACATGCTCATCGTGGCTCCAAGGACACACAGACAGGGTTTATCTCCCCTAGTATCTGATGCAGCGAGATGCGCCCACTGTGGGTTCTGGGTGTAGCAGTGCCACGTCCACAGGATGACCGGAGTGACTGCAAGCTAGAATTCAGACTCACCGCACCGTAACTGGGGAACAGCACAGCTGTGAGGGGTCCCACCGCACCCCACCCTGTGGCCAGGACTCTACTGGAGGGAACGCCTGTGCAACAGAGGCCCAGCGCACCCCGCCACTGCCCGAGCTGCCGGCAGCCCACGGGGGCGCTGCCTCCCAGGCCCCAGCCACCCCCCCGGGAGCCGGGAGCCTCCTTACATGTCCTCCGGCAGGTATGCTTCCTGATCGATCTGCACGTCCACGTCTTTTTTGGTGGCGATTTTGTACATAGGAATCGCCTTCTGCACGGCAGCCTGCCAAAGGAACACAGGGAGAGGTTGTACAGGAGCCAAGGGGCAGACACTCCTTCATCAAGAAGGGATGCGGGCAAAGATGCTCCCAGCACAGCCGCGTGGCTGGCGGGCAGTGAAGTGCTACCGTCATTGAGCATGACGGGCTAAAGCAGGGAAGCTGTCCTGGGGGGGAAAGAAGGGAGAGACTTCTGCGAGCAACACAATGGGGGGTGGGGGGACACAGCGCACAGCAGCACTGCAAGCAATGGGGAGGCGAGAGGAGAAACCCAGTGCCCACTCACAGTCGACACAGTGGAATGCTAGTCAGCCTGGATTTTGCTAAGTGCACACCGAGCGAAGGCCACCTCACAAGGCCAGGTAAGGTGTGTGTGCGTGCAAGTACATACCTGAATGGCCAAGTGACAAAACAAGATCTTACATCTGTCAGTTTACCCCTGGAACGCCCACAAGAGCTGAGCTAGGAGCTGGGAAGGCTGTTTCTGTCTCCCACATGGGCGTCAGGGGCACAGCTGCTTGAGCCATCACCTTCTGCCTCCCGGGAGGCTGTCATGGGGGACGGAGCAGCCAGGAACCCCAGGGCTGGACTGGCACCCTGGCCCCTGGTTCTCTTCTTAAGTGTGTAGTGTTAGAGTTGCATTTTATTGTATTTGCAAGGCAGAGACCGAGAGAAGTCTATCAGCTGGCTTGCTTCCATTTAACCACAACAGCCAGGGCGGGCCAGGAACCTGAAACTCCACCCAGCCCTCGCACTGCGCATGGCAGATGCTCCAAACCCGGGGTGTCTTCCTCCACTGCTTTCCCAGGTGCATGAGCAGGGAGCTGGAGCCTCAGTCAGAACTGACACGCATGTCAGAATCTTAAAAGCCAAGTGACTGAAACAGTACCTCCTATACTGGAACAGACAGGCACACACAGCATCATAACAAAGGACGTCCTTACCTTTACCAGAGGAAAATCTTGTTTCCTGCAGCGAACAATCATTCGGGGCTCCAACAACTGATACAAACCCTGAGATACATGACAGATGTAGTTATTAGACAATATAAACTATAAAGTCAGGCAGAGCAACCCCCCGGGAAGTTCCCCTGGGCAGAATGTGTGTTTACCCCTTCCCTTAGGAAGGAGGATCCTGGTGTCAGAGAGCAGAGAAACATGGGGGCAGAAACAAAACCCCCTGGAAGTCTCCGACACCGACAGGGTGAACACCAGTGAGCATGAACTCACAGTGAGCATCAACCCCAGGCTCGGCGGTAAAGAACGACGCTCAGAGCAGCTGTGATGCAGAAAGCACTCCCCGACCTCTACGCCAAGTTCTAACATTGCAGTTAGCTTCGGGAGGTTGAAAGCGGGAGGATTCCCACTGGGTACCTGGAGGACCAATCCATCGAGCAGCACCTGGTACCTCGTTGTATCTTTCACCACCTTGCCAAGTCTCTGCTTTGCTTCATTCAGAAGATCCTACAAGCAGTGGGGGAAAAGTGAGCTACCCGTCGGGGCAGGCAGGCCAGAGCTCCCTGGGAAGACGGTGCTGGTCCCCCGTCTTCTGTCATAGTGTGCCTGGGGTGTGTGCTGAAGGAGGCGGGGCAGGCAGCCCCTCCCGAGTGTGTGTGTGTGTGAGATACAGCATGGGCCAGACACTGTGTATTGTGTGTCAATTCAGGCCCTGGCTTCCCGCTTCCAATAGAGCTGCTTGCTAATGAGCCCTTGTTGGCAAGAGACGGCGGCTGCAGTGCAGGACCTTGCTGCCCACGGGGCGGGATGGAGTCCTGGCTCTCGGCCTCGGGCAGGCCTAGCCTAGGCCGTCTCAGCCAGATGGGGAATGAACCAGTGGGTCAAAGATTTCTCATTTTTTTTGTTCCTCTGTTACTCTGTCTTTTAAGTAGATAAAAATAAGTGAATAAATATTTTTTTAAAATGTACTCTTAAACTAAAAACCTAGCACCTTAGTTACTCCGTCTAGCAAGCTGAGAAATTAAAAAAACTGACATGAAACGATCTGTATGACACAGCTGTGAAAAAACAAACTTTTCAGATGGTCATTCAAGATGATCCTATTTTTTTCTTATAAAAATATATTTTCTTGGGCCAAGCACGGTGGCCTAGTGGCTAAAGTCCTCACCCTGAACGTGCCGGGATCCCATATGGGCGCCAGTTCTAATCCCAGCAGCTCCACTTCCCATCCACCTCCCTGCTTGTGGCCTGGGAAAGCAGTGGAGGACGGCCCAAAGCCTTAGGACCCTGCACCCGTGTGGGAGACCTGGAAGAAGTTTCTGGGTCCCGGCTTCGGACTGGCATAGCATCGGCTGTTGTGCTCATTTGGGGAGTGAATCATTGGACGGAAGATCTTCCTCTCTGTCTCTCCTCCTCTCTGTATATCTGCCTTTCCAATAAAATAAATAAATCTTTTTTTTTAAAAAGTATTTTCTTTCTGATGATGTTTAGCACAGCTGAGAAGGATGCCCATGTGGACCGCTGATCAGCGTGGGAAGCATCAAGGCATGGGGCAAAGCGGATGAGACCACTGCTTCCAATTTTCTTTCTTTCTGTATCTGGGGGAGGGGGTAGGGGAGCGGGGAGAGAAGACGGCCACTCCCAGCATCGGCACCTGCGGGTGGCATCCCAGGATCCCTGATGTGGCGCATGCTCTGAGGGTTCTGCTCAAGTGGTTTTGATAGTTCTGAGACACTGTTGCTTTCACTGCTTCAAGGTCCACTGGCTGAAAACAGTGCACTGACCCAGATGCTTGCTGTCAATGCCTGGCTGGGAAAGCTTCCAATTTGGCACTAGATGTCCTCTGCAGGCCTCAATGAGCTGTCACGTCCCCCAAGTGCATCTGGGCGTGCTATCCACGGCACAGGCTTCAGCAACTGTCAAGGCCCAGTTCCAACACATGCCCCACCGTCAGACCACAGATCCTGCGATTTCCCCAGGGTCAGGAGCTTTGACCTAGCTGTCCAGTTTGAGGGGGGTGTCCTCAAACAGACCTCATCTGAGGTGACTCCACAGCTGACTCTGTATGTAAGCTAGTGCGGGGTCCAGCTCAGTCCGTCGCCTCCACCAGCCTACACATGCACTGCAGTCATATGGTCGGTTTTCGCCCTAGTCCCCTCTCATACACAAAACAACAGATGCTGTGGCCCAGTCTAACTCTGCCCACCACACACTTGGCCCTTCTGCACACCAGGGGGAGCTGCAGCCCAGACGGACTGACCCCCAGTAACTCCGGCCCTGGTTCCTGCGCATGCTGGTATGTGCAGCAGACTAGTCTGGTCTGTCCTGAGTCCCATTCGGCTCACACCAAAGGAATCTGCAGCCTAGCTCAGCCTGACCAATTACATTATCTAGCCCACACGTATGCTGGTGGGTGTTACCACGTGTCCAGCCAGGCCTGTCCCCAGCATGGTTCCCATGTTTACCAGTGGGAACTGCAGCCCATTAGAGGGGTGCCCACAGTTGCCCTAACAAGGCCCACTCCCAGCCCTGGACCTTGCACTTTCCAGGTGCTACTGTGACCTAGCCTGTCAGGACCTGCCCCCAGTCCTGGCACTTGTCAGCTAATGATGCGGCAAAGCCCAACCAGCCTGCACTTACTCTGGTTCGTGCACGTAGCAGCGGATACAGTCTCCTAGCCCAGCCTGGCTCTCCCCCAACCCAGCTTACATGCAGGCTGCCAGGTGCTGTAGCGCTGCCCAGCCTGGTCTGCCGCACTCTGAGGTTCACCAGTGAGTGATGATGCAGTTTGAAAGCAAGAAGTAGCTCTCTCCCCCTCCTCCCCTATGTACACAGAAGAACAAAATTGAAACATTCGTCTTAGCTCCTCCATGCCTGACCATCCCCACTCTAACCTGGGGCCCACCCCTCTCAACTATGTAAACATAAAATATAAAATTTAAATGAAAAAAAAAAAAAAAAAGCAATGTTCAAAAGTTTGGTGTAATCTCTTCCTGCTAAATTTAACCGACATACTCATTCCTTTGGTCCTATCTTCTATTCTTTTATATTTTCCAGAAAACTATTCCATCTACTGGTTCACTCCCCAGATACAACAACTGGGACTAGGCAAGGTCAAAGCCAAGAGCCAGGAACTCCATACAGGCCTCCCACAGAGGTGATGGGGGCTAGGTATACAGGCCACTGTCAGCCGCTCCCCAACTGCATTGGCAAGGGACTGGGTTGGAAGAGTAAGAGCCGGGATTTGAACCAGCACTCTGACATGGGATGTGAGTATCCCAAGTGACAGCATAACCCGTAAACCACAGAATCTCCCCTAATTATTCGTTTTCTTAATTAATGTTTCAACTAAGCTATAAAATTATTTGAATTAAACAGGGAAACCGCAGACATCTTCCAACAGCCTGGAACTCAAGCTGGGCCTCCTCTATGAGCGGGACAGACCCAGCTACCTGAGCCATCCCCAGCACCCTCTCCAAATGTGTGTGAGCAGGAAGCTGGAGCTGAAGTGGAGCCAGGCCCTCCGAGAGGCCAAGGGTGACGTAGCTGGGAAGGGGAGTGCAGCCCAAGGAGAAGTTCTTCAACCTTTACCCCACGCCTCCCTGTTCACTCGTCCTACCTCCTCCCCGCAGCGGGCAGTCTGCCCTTCACCCTCGGGGACCCGCTGCTCTTCAGGCTGGAAGGTCCTCACAGACAAGCCTTGGCCTACTCTCGTCTGCATTGCTTATAAAACCTAATGTCGGGGCCGGCGGCGTGACCTAGCGGCTAAGGTTCTAGCCTTGAACGCACCGGGATCCCATATGGGTGCCGGTTCTATCCCGGTGGCCCCACTTCCCTTCCAGCTCCCTGCTTGTGGCCTGGGGAAGCAGTTGAGGATGGCCCAAAGCCTTTGGGACCCTGCACCAGTGTGGGAGACCCGGAAGAAGTTCCTGGATCCTGGCTTCAGATCGGCATAGCACTGGCCATTGCGCTCACTTGGGGAGTGAATCAATAGATGGAAGATCTTCCTCTCCGTATATCTGACTTTGTAATAAAAATAAATAAATGTCATGGCGTGCTGAATCATGTCGTCTTTCTCAAATTCCTAACTTGTAATTAATGTTAACTGGCTCTGTAGCAGGCATTTTCTAACTGTAGTCCACAGAGGTTGCTGTTACTCACCGTGATGAGGTCATCTCTTGCTCTGAGGACTTTCAGCCTCGCCTGGTTCATCAGGTTGGACATCTGACTGCAAAAGGCACAGAGAGGTGACGTCAGTGTGACAACCTGCAGACAAGCAGGCGTCGCGCCAAGGACCACACAAGCAACAAACACTTCTACGGGCAGACAGAAAGGCAGGGAGATACAGCCCATGGTTTCTACCACCTGATTTTTAAAGCAACAGAAATTATTAACTTGTGATTATCAGGTGGCAAAGAAGCAATTTCACATCAGTTATTACAATGTAATCATTCAGTAAGCCAGCATGGCTTCCATTCCTAGAAAGGAACTGCACACAGCCCGCCTGCGTCAGAGCAGTGACACGTCCTGAAGTGGCACCCTCCAAGGCCTCTGCCCGCTCCTCCTGCCTCACTGCGCTGCCCCGACCTCGGGCCCACATTAACGGCAGGATCGCAGAGGGGGTGACAGACCATCCTTCAATCTGGTCTACTCCCCAGAGGCTGCAGCTGAGCGAGGCCAAAACCAGGAGCCTAGAACTCCAGCTAGGTCCCCGACGCAGGCTGCAGGGACCATGAGCTGGAGCCATCCTCTGCTGCATGTCAGATGTCTCGGAAGGGAATCGGACTGCAGGGCGAGGTGGGACTCAACCCCGGGCCCTCTAGCATAGGATGTACGTGTCCCGAGCTCCAGCTGTACCACAGCACCTGCCTCTCCGCCGCTGACAAGCTTCTTTTTTTTCTTTTTCAAATATTATTTGATTGGAAAGGCAGGTAGAGTTACAGGAAGGACAGAGATCTTCCATCCCCTGGCTCACTCTTCTAATGGAGGCCGTGGCCAGAGCTAGGACAGCCTGAAACCAGAGCCAGGAGTTTCATCCAGGTCCTCCTTGTCGATGCTGTGACCAAGGATTCTGGCCATCTTCCTCTGCTTTCGAGGCCCGTTCGCAGGCGGCTGGACTGAAAGTGGAGCACTTCAATATGGGATGCTGGCACTGCTGGACTGCCAGCAGAGGCGTAACCAGCTATGCCAGGGTGTTGTCTCCTTAAAGCCTTTTTTTTTTTTTTTTATTGGAAAGTCAGATATACAGAGAGAGGAGAGACAGAGAGGAAGATCTTCCATCCATTAACTCACTCCCCAAGTGAGCGCAATGGTCGATGCTATGCCAGTCCGAAACCAGGAGCTTCTTCCAGGTCTCCCACACGGGTGCAGGGTCCCAAGGCTTTGGGCCGTCCTCGACTGCTTTCCCAGGCCACAAGCAGGGAGCTGGATGGGAAGTGGGGCCACCGGGATTAGAACCGGTGTCCATGTGGGATCCCAGTGCATTCAAGGTGAGGACTTTAGCCATCAGGCTATCGTGCTTGGCCCCTGAAAGCATTTTTTTTTTAAGTTAGTATTGCAACCAGGACCTACTTACATTTTCTTCTGCTGCTCAATCTGCTTTTCCTTCTTCTCATAGTATTCCATAATCTTCAGTCTCTGCGTTTGCACAAGACGACCTTTCTCAATGTTAAACTCCTCTTCTGCCTAGGAGAGAATGAAACAGTACGAACTCATTATACTGGATCTTGGAGAGGCAATGTTGCTTTAAGCTAGTTTATTTACTACATATAAAAATCAGGACTGTATGACTCATCTTCCAAGGCAGCTGCAGGTAGCCTAGTGGTTAAGGTGTGTCCGTAACAGCCAAGGCTGCAGGGCAGCTCTGAGAGGTGGCAGTCCTGACATGGCACACCTGCGCTGGAGGTCCCAGCTGTCAGCTTGTCCTGTCCCAACTCGGGCTGTTGCTGACAGTTGGAGAGTGAAGCAGCAGTTGGGAGCTGCCTCTCAAACGTTAGGTGCAGGGTCCCAAAGCTCCTCCTCTCTGTATATCTGCCTTTCCAATAAAAAAAAAAATCTTAAAAAAAAGAAAGATTTATTTATTTTTATTGCAAAGTTTATGGGATCCCGGCACATTCAAGGTGAGGACTTTAGTCGCTAGGACACTGCACTGGGCCCACTAACCGCAGTTTTAATCCCTATTTTACAAAGGAGGACAAATGGTATTTTCATAAGTTGAATAAATGAGATCGATCTAGCAGTCTTTTAAACATCATACCAATTTGGGATCGCACTGTGGCCTCCACTTGCAGTGTTGATCTTCCATAAAGACGTGGGATTGAGTCCCAGCTGTTCCACTTCCAATCAGCCTAGCTCCTGACTAATGCGCCTCAGAGAGCCGCCCGGGTCGGTCCAAGGGCTTGAGCCCGCGCAACCACGCGGGAGTCCCAGAGCGCCTGGCCTCGGAGCTGTCTAGCTGCAGCCGCTATGGCCATTTGGGATCCATTATCTGTCTCCCACCCTCCCTTTTCTCCCTAATTCTGCTTTTCAACACATAATCACAAAAGTTACATAAATATAGGTTAATAGTTTCATTAGCGAAAAACTGTCAGAAATGTTAAAATTTTTCTAGTTTTATTTTAAAAATTTTTTTTTTTTTTTAAAGATTTATTTTTATTATTTTTTATTGGAAAGGCGGATATACAGAGAGGAGAGACAGAGAGGAAGATCTTCCGTCCGATGATTCACTCCCCAAGTGAGCGCAATGGCCGATGCTATGCCGATCCGAAGCCAGGAGCCTCTTCCGGGTCTCCCACGCGGGTGCAGGGTCCCAAAGCTTTGGGCCATCCTCGACTGCTTTCCCAGGCCACAGGCAGGGAGCTGGAAGGGAAGCGGGGCTGCCGGGATTAGAACCGGCGCCCATATGGGATCCCGGGCGTGCAAGGCGAGGACTTAACCACTTGCGCCACCGCGCCGGGCCCCTATTTTTAAAATTTTTAAATTTTTTCCCCCTCTTCTATTATATTTTTGACAATCTTTACATACTTAATTATGGTAAACAGGTACAAGGACTACAGGAAAATGGATAAGACTATTATTTCTTTTTATTTTTTTTAAAGGTTTTTTTTTTTTTTTTTATTACAAAGACAGATATACAGAGAGGAGGAGAGACAGACAGGAAGATCTTCCATCCGATGATTCCCTCCCCAAGTGGCCACAACGGCTCGTGCTGCACCAATCCGAGGCCAGGAGCCAGGAGCCTCTTCCAAGTCTCCCACACGGGTGCAGGGTTGGGCCATCCTCAACTGCTTCCCCAGGCCACAAGCAGGGAGCTGAATGGGAAGTGGAGCTGCTGGGATTAGAACTGTGCCCATATGGGATCCCGGCACATTCAAGGTGAGGACTTTAGCCGCTAGGCCACGCCACCAGGCCCAAGACTATTATTTCTATAGTTTCCTTCACGTATCTGAGGTAAAGGGGTATATTGAGGGAGAAGCCCACCCACCCCAAGTCCTGGATGTGGGGCATGCTCTGAGATACTTGCTCAAGTGGTTTTGATAGTTTAGCAGTTATGAATCACTGCCAGTTTCACCACTCTAAGCACAATGAGGTCATTGAAGAATCCACTTATTGCCACAGTCCATCTTAGAGTCTCTGTTTGCCCAGTTTTTCACTGGCAAGATATAGCTGAGGTTGTTGATTGACTTGTTCTGTCCTCTGTCTTTTCTTGGTTAGGTTCTGAGTCCAGCAGTTCGATTGGGGGGATCCGCAAATAAACTTCGCCTGAGGTGAACCCAGTTCAGAATCTATATTATACTCGCAAGTACAGGGCCTGGCACAGTCCACTGCCCTGATCAGCTGGTGGTTGCAATTGCTGGGTTGGTTGTTTCCAACCCTGACTTCCACTGGATCCAACGGGTGTTGCAGTCCAGCCTGGTTCTTCCCAGCACATACTTGGCCCTCACATAAACCAGTGGGAGCTGCAGCCTAGTCAGAGCGACCCACAATAACGCCCACCAGGCCCGCCCCCTACTCTGGTTTGCCAGTACGTGTAGCAGACTAGTCCAGTCTGTCCCACATCCCATTCAGGTCTCATACATGTCAATGGGTATTAGAACCTAGTTCCATCCAACCAGCTCAACCATCCAGCCCTCACGGACGTTGTTGGGTGTCTGTCTAGCCACCCCAGCCCCTGTCCTAGTTTCGTGCCCTCCCGTGGGAGTGGTAACCCAAGACGGAGGAGCCCACTATTTCCCTCCCAGGCCTCTCCCACTCCCAGATCATGCACTCTCCAGTTGCTTCTGCAGTTTAACTGGACAGAATTAGCCGCCAGTGCCAGCTTCTGCCAGCTGATGCTGTGGCTAAGCCCAAACAACCCTCACCCACTCTAATTGTAGTTTGCACCAGTAGGAACAATCAGCCCAGCCTGGCTTTTCCCTGACCTAGTCTACGTGAGTAATTCTGCCTTTCAACAGATAATCACAAAAGTTACATAAATATAGGTTAATAGTTTCATTAGTGAAAAACTGTTGGAAACTTTAAATCTTTTATTTTCTAAGCCAGTTCATAACAACCATTGGCAGATCTGAGAACCAGGATGGAATGCAGGATAGGCCAGTTTGGACCACAACATCAGCCAGTTCACATTAGGGCCAGGACTGGGGGCTGGCTGGGCAGGGCTAGGCTGCAGCACCTACCAGTCCAGGGGAGTCCCAGGGGGAGGGAGATGGGGGCAGCACAGACATCACAGCTGGGCCACTGTTTCCACTGGTGAGCATGAGAACTGGGACTTGGGGACGAACAAGCTGGGCAGGGCTACACACCCTGTTGGTCTGCATGCAAGCTGGGTAATGGAGCAGCCAGGCTGGACTGACCGACATGCACGGGTGAGAGTAGGTGTGGGCTTGGTTGGGCTTTGTTGCAGCATCACCTGCAAGTGCTGGGACTGGTTGCATATCCTTGCAAAGGTAGACTGCAGAACCACCTGCAGAGTGCCACATCTGGGACTGGAAGTAGGCCCAGGAGGGGGACCGGACACCTCGCTGATGAGATGCAGCTCCCACCCATGACCATGAGAACCAAGGCTGGGAGCGGGTCTGGCTAGAGAGGTGGTAGCACCTGCTGGCATGAGTGTGGGCTGGTTGGGTTGAACAAGGTTCCAACGCCCACTGGTGTATATGAGAGCAGAATGGGATGTGGGACAGCCTGGGCCAATCTGTTGTACATACTGGTCGGGGGCAGGCCGAGTGGGATTGCCGGGGTTGCCCCGACTAGGCTACAGCCCCTGCTGGTATACGTGTGGGCTGAGTGTGTAGTGTGCTGGGCCACAGCATCCACTGGTTTGCGTTAAGAGGTGGGGCTGGCGACAGAAATGACCCAACAACTGCAACTACCAGTGTGTCTGTAGGTGGATGTGGGTGATGGACTGAGCCAGACCCCGTACTGGCAAATACACCCCAAATAAACCTCTGGATTCAGAGATCATGGGGAGAACTGCAGGATCTGCGCGTGTCAGAGCCGGGCCTCCACAGCGGCTAAGATGGAGCTGTGGATGGCATGGCACATGCACATGGAGCAATCAGCAATGCCCTGGGGCCTGCAGAGACCAGGGCAGAGGAAGGAGGGCGGAACAAAGTAGCCCAGCCAAGCGCTGACAGCAAACATCTGGGCGAATGGTAGACTGCCGGCCGATGGACCTTGGAAGGATTTCCTTATCCTTGGACTGGCGATATCAACAGCATTTCAGAACTATCAAAACCACTTAAGCAGAACTCTCGGGGCATGCTCCACATCAGGGACCCTGGGATGCCACTGGGCGGCCGTTCCCTGGGTACTGAGGTGGTTGGGAGGCCAGGTGTGGCTTCTCCCCTTATCTCCTTTCCCCAGATACAGGAGGAAGCAAAGGAAAACCTGGAAATCATGGTCTCACTTCCCCAATCCTTGATCCTTTCCAGCCTGATCAACTAAATAAAAAAATAAAAGTTTATCTTCTTTCCCCTTTTAAAAAACTTGTCTCCTTTGCTTCACTCTGCAAAGGGCACCAATGCCCAGGGCTGGACCAGGCAGGAGGCAGCAGCCCAGCGATTCATGCGAGTCTAACTTGGGAGTGCGGGTGCCTAAGCCACATTCTAAGTGCATGGCCACATTCTACTGCTTTTCCAGGCACACTAGCAGGAAGCCGGATGGAAAGTGGTGCAGCCAGGATTCAGACTGGTACCCATACGGATGCCAATGTTACAGGTACTGATTTTAGCCCTTAAAAAGTTTATTTTCATCTATTTGAAGAATGATGGAGATCTTCTGTCTTTGGAGCTCATCCGCAAAAGTCTGCCTCACCCAGGCTGGGCCATGTTGACGTCAGAAGCCCAGAACTCCATCAGGGTCACCTATGCAGGTGGCAGGGGCCCACGCACCTGTGCCACCATCTGTTGCCTCCCAGGAGGCACAAGCAAGAGGCAGGTGGAGGCATGGCAGGCAGAGCTCTCACAGCCTCTAACACTGGGCACAGGCATTGAAGCGGTAGCTTAACCCACTGTGCCGCAGGAGTGCATCCCACCAGGACAGCAGCAGGCCGTTCACTGTGACAGGTGGAGATGGAGATAACGCCCTAGTCCCCAGGCTCACTCCCCAAAGGCTCCAAGTCCTAGGAAGCACTAGATGATGACTTAAGCTCTTGGGCCCCTTACCATGTAGGAGCCCAGTGGATCTCGGGGCTCCTGGTTTCAGCCTGATCCAGCGCTGGCTGCTGCTAGAAACAGACCAGCAGATACAAGACCAATCAGCCTCTCTCCTAGTTACTCTGCATTGTGGCAGAGAAGCTTAAGCGTCTATCTGAGATGCTGGCACTGCCATGTGGGTGGCGGTGGTTCATGTCCAGGCTGTTCCATTTCTATCCAGCTTCCTGCTTATGGCCTGGACAGCAAGGGCAGAGCTCAAGTCCTTGGATCCCCGCATCCATGTGGGAAATCTGCAGGAAGCTCCTGACTCTGGATTAGTTCAGCTCTGGCTGTTGGGCCATTGAGTGCCAGGCAAGGACTTGAGCCATTCTCCTATGCTTTCCAGGCCATAGGCAGAGAGCTGGATCAGAACAGAAGCAGGACAGGAACTGGCAGTCATATGGGAGCCAGGGCCACAGGTGGCTTAGACTACTGCCCCACAGCACCCTGCTCCACCTGATTCAGATCCTTGATGCCTGGGACAGCAACAGAGCGTCACCCTGCACCCACACAGCATACCCAGTTCCTGCCATCATGGCCATTTGGGGAGAGTGCCAGTGGAGGGAAAATCTTTTTAAAGATTTCTTTAAAAATTAATTTATTCATTTACTTTATTGGAAAGTCAGAATTACAGAGAGAAGGAGAGACAGAGAGAAGGATCTTTGGTTCACTCCCCAAGTGGTCGCAATAGCCAGAGCTGAGCTGATTTGAAGCCAGGAGCCTCTTCCGGGTCTCCCATGCAAGTGCAGGGTCCCAAGGCTTTGCACCATCCTTGACTGCTTTCCCGGGCCACAAGCAGGAAGTCAGATGGGAAGTGGAGCAGTTGGGACATGAAGTTGCACCTAAACGGGATCCCGGGATCCCCGTGTGTGCAAGGTGAGGCCTTTAGCCACTAGGCCATCACGCTGAGCCTTTTTTTTTTTTTTTTTTTTAAATAAAGTTTAAAGACACATAAGACAAGCAGTGAGGAGACAGAAAGATCTTCCATCTGCTGGTTCACCACGCAAGTGCCACAGTGGCTGGAACTGAGCTGAAGCCAGGAGGCAGGAGATCCCCAAGGCTTTGGGCCTACTGCACTGCTTTACCAGGCCATAAATGGGGAGCTGGAGAAGCAGAGCAGCCAGGACATGAACTGGCACACATGAGATGCTGGCGCTTGCAAGGTGAGGATTTAGCCATTAAGTCATCGTGCTGGTGAGCCAGCAAATGCTAGCACGGGGGGCTAATTCGGTCAAGCCAAACTGCAGAACCACTTGGAGAGTGCATCATGTGGGAGTGGGCCTAGCAAGGTAACAGTGGGCACCTCCCTCCTGGGTTGCCATTCTGTCTGGTGAGTGTGAAAACCAGGACTAGGGGCAGGCATGGCTAGACAGAGAATGGCACCTGTCAGCAGGTCGTGGGCTGGATAGTGGGGCTGGTTGGGCTGAACTAGGTTTCACTGCCCATTGACAATTATGTGAGCTGAATGGGAAGTGGGACAGACCGGACCAGTGTGCCGTACATACTGGCAAGCATGGGAACCAGGGCAGGAGCTAGGCCTGGTGAGGCTTATTGGGAGTCACTCCAACTAGGCTGCAGCTCCTACTGGCTTGCATGACCAAGTGTGTGGTGGGCAGGATTGGGCTGGGCTCCAACACCCATTGGTTTGCGTAGGAGACACGACTAGGAACAGAACGGACCCAGCAACTGCACCCACCAGCATGTGCACAGGCTAAGTGGGGCAAGTCTGTGCTGGACCCTGTGCTAGCGAGCACACACAAGAATTTGGTCTGGGATCACTTCAGAAGGAGTTTCTTTGGGGATCCCCCCAGTCGAACTGCCGGATTCAGAACCCCAACCATGAAGAGGCTCCATGGTCTGACCGTGGAGTGGATGTGTCAGAGCTGGGCCTCCTCAGTGGCTCAGACGGAGCAGTGGACAGCATCTCCAGGTGCACATGGAGGATATGGCATTACATTGGGGCCTCTCAGGACACTTGTACCACAACAGAGGACAGAACAAATTGATCAAGTACCCCAGCCAAGTGCTGGCAGTGAAAATCTGGGCAAGTGGACACTCTAAGGTGGACTGTGTCAGCCAGTGGATTCTGAAGAGATTTCATCGTGCTTGGAATGGCGAGACTGGCAGCAGTTCAGAACAGCTGAACTATCGAAACCACTTGAGCAGTGCCCTCGGAGCATGCCCCACGCTGGAAACCCGGGGATGGGGTATGAGGCTGGGTGGGACTTCTCCCTTTATCTCTGTTTTCCCCAGATACAGGAAAAAAAAAAGAATGTGGAAACAATGGTCTTATATACTTTCTGTAGCCCTTGACCCTTTGTGCCCTAATTAACTATGTAATGATCATTAAAATTAAAAAATAAAAAAACAAAACAACAACAAAAAAACACTTTGACAGCCAAAAAAAGAAGTCATCATGCTGGGACCGAAGATCTTCTCCTGTCTCTGCCTTTCAAATAAAGATAGAACCCTAACCAAGAAAAGACAGAGGACAGAACAAGTCAATCAACCACCTCAGCTATATGTTGGGAGTGAAAAACTGGGCAAACGGAGACTCTAAGATGGACTATGTCAATCAGTGGATTCTTCAGCGACCTCATCGTGCTTGGAGTGGTGAGACTGGCAGTGATTCATAACTGGTGAACTGTCAAAACCACTTGAGCAAGACCCTCAGAACATGTCCTACATCCAGGACCTGGGGTGGGTGGGAACTGGGTGGGGCTTCTCCCTCAATATCCCCCTTTACCTCAGATACATGAAGGAAACAATATGGAACTAATAGTCTTACCCACTTTCCTGTAACCCTTGAACCTTTTTACCCTAATTAACCATGTAAAAATTGCCAAAAAAAGAAATAAAAAAAAGAAAAAAGATAGCTTAGAAAAACAAAATTCGGGCCCAGCGCAGTGGCCTAATGGCTTAAGTCCTCACCTTGAATGCGACAAGATCCCATATGGACACCAGTTCTAATCCCAGCAGCTCCACTTCCCATCCAGCTCCCTGCTCGTGGCCTGGGAAAGCAGTTGAGGACAGCCCAAAGCCTTGGGACCCTGCACCCGCGTGGGAGGCCTGGAGGAAGCTCCTGGCTCCTGGCTGTGGATCAGCACAGCACTGGCTGCTGTGGTCACTTGGGGAGTGAATCATCGGATGGAAGATCTTCCTCTCTGTCTCTCCTCCTCTATGTATATCTACCTTTCCAGTAAAAATAATTCTACCCATTTCAATCTGAGAGGCAGAAGGCAGAGAGGAAAACAGCACAGGAATGCCAACCCCCACTCACTGGTTCATTTCGCACATGATGGGGTTGCGAAGCCAAAGCTGAACCCCGGAGTCGGAGACTCAGCTCTCCCATGAGGAGAGCAGGATTCCAGTGACCGCAGCTGTCCCCACGCCCCCCAGGCTTCACACTGGCAGGAAGCCGGAGCTCGGAGCGAAGCGAGCTACTGAACTCACCTACTCTCATACAGGACACAGGTGCAATTATTACAATTACTTTTCTGGCAATAAACACAAATTAAAAAAGCAAAAAACAGAAGACTACAGTAAAATTAACCAAAGATGGCTAATGCTGACTGGTAGTAAAAAAAAAAAAAAAAAAAAAAAATCAACCCACTCACTAATTTTCTATGCTTACCATAAAATCTCAGGACACTTACTGAGATTGTTAGTGGTAACAATTTGAAAGGAAAACTGACTTTTAACTATAAGGAATCAGACACGTGAGCCGTTCTGCGCAAGGCGGTGTTCAACTTCACCAGCAACACTGCCCTAAAGCAGACCAGTAGGAGATGCTCTCACCTTCGCATCGATTTCTTCTGCTTTCTCATTGGCTTCTTGCTCGATGAAAGCCATCATATGCTTAATCTGCAAGGAAAAGAGTTCTTTATTGTTCAATTCAACAGCAGAAAATATGCTTCAACAAGCAATCATTTACGGAAAGCCTGCGGCTCCTGCGCTGAGTATGAACCTGTATCTGCAAGAGTTGTGTCACACAGATACTTAACTTGTTGCGGCCCACTGACAACACACAACACTTAATAACAAACCGGTCATAATCCCACACACAATGAATGCCCTCTCAAAGTGACAGTCTCTTTGCCCTCGAATCTTGATATAGATGTAATTTTATTTAAAACGTGAAAGGAGAGGAAAGGGGGGCTTGAGGCAGGAACGGAGCGGGCCAGCTGCCTGCAACAGGCAGGGCCGGGCCAGGCCAGAGCCCCAGCGGGGCCCAGCTGCTCTCCCACGGGGCGCCCTGTCACCATCAGCTCCCCGCACCAGCCTGACCCGACCTTCCAGCGTAAGCTCGTGGGACGGCCAACTTCCCCCTTCTTCAACCATCTCCTCCCTTCTACAACTCCCTCCCCAGTTTCCTGTGTCCAAGCACCATTGCCTCCTCCGCTGCCTCCCAGTTTTCTGGCTGTCCCACTTACACTAACCCGAGCCCAACACAGACAGATTTAACTGCTTATCAGCCCTCACTCTGACTCTGGCTCACACACACCTTCTTCCTCAATTTGCACCAAGTCTTATCAGTTCTTCCTCTTTCCAAAAAGCTTACTTGAAAGACTGGGGACACGCATGCAGCGGGAGGGGAGGGCGGCTGAGAGATCTTTCACCTGCTGCTCATTCCCTAAATGGCTGCCTCGGCCAGGGCTGAGCTAAACCCACGCCAGGAGCTTCTCCCGGGTCTCCTAACGTGGGTGCAAGGGCCCACTTGGGACCATCTTCTGTTCCTTTGCTAGGCACATTACCAAGGAGTCGAATCAGAAGTGGAGTCGTCAGGACGCGAACTGGCACAACCATGGAATGCGGGCATCGCAGGCGGCAGCTTTACGTCCTATACCACAATCCTGGCCCGTCAATTCTTTTTTTCTAATCATTCTTTAATTTGTACACAGCGCTCTTCAGAAACACTGCTCTCAGCGCCTGGTGCGATGGCTCAGTGGCTAAATCCTCACCTTGCATGCACAGGATCCCATAATGGCCTGCTTCCCATTCAGCTCCCTGCTTGTGGCCTGGGAGAGCAGTCAAGGATAGCGCAAAGCCTTGGGACCCTGCACCTGTGTGGGAAACTTGGAAGAAGCTCCTGGCTCCTGACTTGGGATTGGCTCAGCTGCGGCCGTCGCGCTCACTTGGAGAGTGAACCATCGGACAGAAGATCTTCCTCTCTGTCTCTCCTCCTCTCTGTATATCCGCCTTTCCAATAAAAATAAATAAACACAGAATCCCACTACTCTCTGGTCACTGTCCATCATTTATCAGCAGACTTGTCCAAACAGCTGCCAAGTACCCTTCCTGCTCCAATCTCCTACTCTACTTTGCCATGACAGATCCTTCCTAAGCGGCCACGGTGGAGTGGGTGAGCTGTGGCATGGGTGCCCACTGCTGGTTCAGGAAAATTCCCAGCTTCTTTTTGACCAATTCCGGCTCATGTGCACAGTGGAAAGCAGCAGATAATGGCTTAAATATTGGGGCCCCCTGCTTTTTTTTTTTTCCTTTTCCAAAGATTTATTTATTTTTATTACAAAGCCAGATACACAGAGAGGAGAGGAGGAGAGACAGAGAGGAAGATCTTCCATCCGATGATTCACTCCCCAAGTGACCGCAAAGGCCGGTGTTGCGCCGACCCAAAGCCAGGGACCAGGAACTTCTTCCTCTAGGTCTCCCACGCGGGTGCAGGGTCCCAAGGCTTTGGGCCATCCTCGACTGCTTTCCCAGGCCACAAGCAGGGAGCTGGATGGGAAGTGGAGCTGCTGGGATTAGAACCAGTGCCCATATGGGATTCCAGCACGTTCAAGGCGAGGACTCCAGCCGCTAGGCCATGCCGTTGGCCCCCCCCACTTTTTTTTTTTTTTTAAAGATTCATTTATTTTGGGCCCAGCGCAATAGCATAGTGGTCAAAGTCCTCGCCTGGAATGCACAGGATCCCATGTGGCCACCGGTTCTAATCCTGGCAGCTCCTCTTCTCATCCAGCTCGTTGTGGCCTGGGAAAGCAGCCGAGGATGGCCCAAAGCCTTGGGACCCTGCACCTGCGTGGGAGACCTGGAGGAAGTTCCTGGCTTCTGGCTTTGGATTGGCACAGTTCCAGCCATTGCAGTCTAATTGGGGAGTGAATCATCAGACAGAAGATCTTCCTCTCTGTATGTCTGACATTCTAATAAAAATAAATAAATCTTCAAAAAAAAATTCTTTGATTTTGATTTTTGCAGCCACTGCTGTGCCTCTCGCCCGCTGAGCTCCAGCCACAGCTGAGAAGGGGTTGGTGAGCGAGGAAGAACTTACATCGTGGCTCACACACAGCCGATTGCCCGCAATTCAACTGGAGGAAAAGCACCCAGGAAGTAACTGGCTACAAAGCCGCTCGAGAGACTGCGCCCTCTGCAGGAGGGGTTAAGACACCTCTCTGTTACGGCCTGGCACTGGGGCTCCTCCGGAAATTATTAGTCCACAAACTCCAAAACAGTTCAGGATCCCAAAACAGATCTATGCTTCCAGAGTGCAGCTGGTGCTTTGCAGGAGGTGAGTGGGGCCTATCCAGCTGGCCTTTTTGAAGACACCAAGCTGTGTGCTACCATGTTGCACATGTAACAATTATGCCCAGACATCCAGCTGGCATGCCGCACATGTGGACGACATGCTTAAGAATGTATTATGATGGGTCCTGGTGCGATGGCCTAGTGGCTAAAGTCCTCGCCTTGCACGCACCAGGTTCCCATATGGGCACTGGTTCTAATCCCAGTGGCCTGCTTCCCATCCAGCTCCCTGCTTGTGGCCTGGGAAAGCAGTCGAGGGCAGCCCAAAGCCTTGGGACCCTGCACCTGTGTGGGAGACCTAGAGGAAGTTCCTGGTCCCTGGCTCCGGATTGGCTCAGCTCCAGCCGTTGTGGTTACTTGGGGAGTGAATCATCGGACGGAAGATCTTCCTCTCTGTCTATCTGACTTCGTAATAAAAATACATACATACATAAATAAAAAGACTCTACTATGATAGGAAACATCTCAATGTTTTTTTTTCTAATCTTCCTGTTACTGGTAGTTCTGAACGTCAGGTATTTTTTCCTATGGAATCAAAAGGCACCTAAGTATATGACTGTGGGTGAAAAACAGCGGACAGAAGGCACGTGCTGGCAGTTTTTCTGCTTTCATTTGTATGTGGCTTTTTAATATAAATGCGGAAACAAAGCATTTATGGAAGTCAAAAGTCTCAGTGAGCAAGTTTCAGCAGTTCAACTTTATAACAATTATAAATAAATGTGTTCATTTTTTTCTGGAAAATGCCAGTGTTCTGATATTTTAAAAATGAGTAAATTGGGCCCGGCGCGGTGGCGCAAGTGGTTAAAGGTCCTCGCCTTGCACGCCCGGGATCCCATATGGGCGCCGGTTCTAATCCTGGCAGCCCCGCTTCCCTTCCAGCTCCCTGCCTGTGGCCCGGGAAAGCAGTCGAGGACGGCCCAAAGCTTTGGGAGCCTGCACCCGCATGGGAGACCCGGAAGAGGCTCCTGGCTTCGGATCGGCATAGTATCGGCCCGTTGCGCTCACTTGGGGAGTGAATCATCGGACGGAAGATCTTCCTCTCTGTCTCTCCTCTCTGTATATCCGCCTTTCCAATTAAAAAAAAATAATAATAAAAATAATAAATCTTTAAAAAAAAATGAGTAAATTGCTTGTTGACAGCAACTAAATGCTGTCTGCAGCCTTGTGAGCATTCAGTAGTTCCATCATTCACTACTGCACTGAGCTGTCCCAGCGGTCGCGCCTGTATTCATGTCGTCTGCGCTGTTTCTGCAGGCTTGCTATGCAAACAGACTAAAGTATACATAACAAAAGGATTCATTACTTTTTATTGCAAAGACAGATCAGACTTACGGAGATGGGGAGAGAAAGAGAAGATGACTTCCATCTGCTGGTTTGCTCAGAGCTCAAGCTGAGCCAATCTGAAGCCAGGAGCCAGCAGCTTCTTCCAGGTCTCCCACGGAGGGGAAGGATCCCAAGGCTTTGGGCCGTCCTCAACTGCTTTCCCGGGCCACAAGCAGGGAGCAGGATGGGAAGCCGGGCAGCCAGGACATGGGATTCCTGGCACTTGAAGGGGGAGGATTAGCCAACTGAGCCGTCACACCGGGTCTGAAATGCCACCAATCCGACACACAGAGTGAGTCAGAGCCAAGGACCTCAGAACAGGTTGCTGCAGACACTGGCATGCCACATTCCTGCTTTCCTGCTGCGTCCAATCCAGCTCCTGCGCCTGTGCCAGGCAAGGCATCTGGAGGTGACCCACTGCACCAGAAACAGATGAAGCTCCTGGTTCCTTGGCTTCAGCTCAATCCAGCTCCAGACACTGTCATATGGAGCGAGAACTGTGGATGGAAAGACTCTCACTCAATGGCTAACCCTTCACCTTGCAAGCACCGGGTTCCCACACGGGCGCTGGCTCACATCCCGGCGGTCCTGCTTCCCATCCAGCCTGTGGCCTGGGAAAGCAGCTGAAGATGGCCCAAAGTCTTGGGACCCTGCACCTGTGTGGGAGACTCAAAAGAAGCTCCTGGTTCCTGGCTTCAGATTGGTTCAGTTCTGGCCATTGTAGTCACTTGGGGAGTGAACCAGCAGACAGAAGATTTTTCTCTCTGTCTCCACTCTCTATACATCTGATTTGGCAATAAAAATAAATAAATCTTAAAAAAAAAAAACCCACACAATATCTGTTACTACTTTTCACATAAACAAATCCTTAAAAAACAAAAACACAAATTTGTGGCTTCAAAGTCTTGCAGAAGAAATATGGAGTGGTTTTAGAGGTCTTTTTTTTTTTTTTAATCATAAACCCTAGTAGCCAATCTACTCTAAAATGGCAAAAAACGATGACCATCAGAGCCTACCATATGGACACAGCCTGTACAATCTCAGGCAGGCCCTGAAGTAAGTGGGGATGGGCTCCGGAGCTGCACGTGCGGGAGAGGGAAGATGTTCTCCCTGGAAGAGCAAATCCCCCAGCATGCTGGCCGCCGCTGTCCCTAACACAGCCTGAAGCCTCTAGTCTGGGATCTTTAAAGCAGTGTAAGCACAGTAATCAAAAGTGGTATTTATAACTGCTACAAGGCGGGTCTGGCCTGTGGAGGTGAAAACCTGTGTTATCTGCCTGGAACTGGCACAGCCCAGGGTCAAACACGCTGACCTCACCTAGCAGGCCCCAGCAGCCTGTTTACTGTCAATCAGGCCCTTCAGGATATTTAACTCGACCCCAAAGGCAGGAAAAGAAGAAAAAAATTCCATTTTCCAACAATATTTTCTTCTTGCTAACCCATTAACTCCCTGAAGATTCCTTCATGTGTTTTACCCCACTGGAGATGAAGTCACACAAACCTGGATGAATTAAGCACCTACTACGTGCCTGGCCTAGTCCCTGGGGAGGCAAGGTGAACAATGGAGTGCAGAGGCGGGAGTGGTCGGGAGCCAGGAGTCCCTCACTGCTGCATGCTCTGGGAGCAGTCTCTTTGGGTTCCCAGGACCGCACAGCACTGCCTGTACCCTGCACTGTGTCATCAGCAAGCCTTCCCCAGGCACGGGAACCAAGGGACAGTCCGAGCAGGGACAGTCCGAGCGACAGCCTCAGGACGGCGCCCGCTGCAGCGGCGTGGAAGGCAGCCCACTCTTCCGCTGCCCAACACGCAGAAGGCCCCACGGAGCTCCCAAAGCCGCATTCGCCCCAAGAACACGGTCAGACTTTTTATAATTCTCCCTAAAAAAAATACATATATTCTTTAATTTCCATTTCCCCTTTGTGAATAATGAGGAAATGCCTTGCTCACTCGTTGGGGCCATCACTGGGTTAGGAACAAAACGGAAAGACATTCTCATGGCAACATCCAGCGAAAACCCTTTTTATGGCTCGGGAGCAAATGCGTAAGGCGGCTGACGTTGCTTCAAGTCACAGCGTTTCCCCTAGCACTTCAAAAATGAGTGGGATTAGTTTCCCTAAACTACATGCTTATTAAGTGCATCCTGAAACGAACCTTCTCTGTCAAGCTGTGGCCACGGGGCCCGGCGAGCACGGACGCCAGACAGCCGCAAAGTACCTCTCCACCCACCCGGCCACACTGCCCACGGAGGCGGCCACACTGCAACTCTCCCGACACCCACCCGGCCACACTGCAACTCTCCCGACACCCACCCGGCCACACTGCAACACTCCCGACACCCACCCGGCCACGCTGCAACTCTCCCGACACCCACCCGGCCACACTGCAACACTCCCGACACCCACCCGGCCACACTGCAACTCTCCCGACACCCACCCGGCCACACTGCAACTCTCCCGACACCCACCCGGCCACACTGCAACACTCCCGACACCCACCCGGCCACACTGCAACTCTCTCGACACCCACCCGGCCACACTGCAACACTCCCGACACCCACCCGGCCACACTGCAACACTCCCGACACCCACCCGGCCACACTGCAACACTCCCGACACCCACCCGGCCACACTGCAACTCTCTCGACACCCACCCGGCCACACTGCAACACTCCCGACACCCACCCGGCCACACTGCAACACTCCCGACACCCACCCGGCCACACTGCAACTCTCTCGACACCCACCCGGCCACACTGCAACACTCCCGACACCCACCCGGCCACACTGCAACTCTCCCGACACCCACCCGGCCACACTGCAACTCTCCCGACACCCACCCGGCCACACTGCAACTCTCCCGACACCCAGGAGCCCCAAGGCGGCGCACGTTCGAGAACAAAACGACAGTAGTAATTACACCCTTTGGTGCGAACGAACGCGGCCTCACGACCTCCCCCTCATTTGCCCGCGTCGACCACGCAGGCCAAATGCCACCACCCAGAGCCGACGAGCCGCGCCGGGGCAGACGCCGCACCGCGCGGAGCCCAGGACGAGCACGGGCCGCGCGGGGCAGAGCTCGGGCTCCCCAGGCCTCCCTCACGGCTGCACTGCGGCACGCCCGGACGCGGGGCCCGACCCGCCACCCCGAGCCTCACCTGCTTCTGCACGTCGGCGTCGCTGAGAGCCATGGCGAGCGCGAGACCGGGCCGGCACCCACGGGTAGCAGCTGCGCGGACCAAGAGCACCGGGAGCAGCGCTCGTCGGCCTTTACGCACTGCACCGGCTTCCGATTCCTGCCCGGGACGCCCCCGGTGCCGCCCCCAAGCAGCCGTCTCGACCAGTAGAAAGAGAGGAAGCATGCGGAAGTCCCGCCTTCTGCCCACCGTCAGCCAATGGGAAGAGAGGCAGCAGGCAGAAATCCCGCCTTCTGCCGGCCGCCGCACCGCCTTCCCAGGGCCGGGCGCATGCGCTCTGCAGTCCCCACGTGACCCCCGGCGCGTGACCCCCGGCTCGTGACCGCGCATGTTTATCTTTTCCAGCTGCTCTGCTGTTGGGGGAGGAAAGGTGTCCGAGTCTCAATTCAGCTCTTTGGGTTTCTCCTCGTATATATCTATTTTTCAAATATCGTACTTCCACACAAGCCGGACTTCATTGTATTTTGTTTTTTTGTAATGCTAGGGCAGCCTGGACGCCAAGCCAGCAGGATCGCAGGGATGGAGCGGTGGGTAGTGCGTGAGGGCCAGCTAAGTGGCTTCCTGGCCTCACTTCTTCTGACAAAGGCACTTTGTTGTATAGAATTTTCACGACCTTCTGGGTCTCGGAGATTCCTGACTTGCAACTTTTTTTTTAAGATTTCTAATTTTGGGGCCTGGCGCGGTAGCCTAATGCCAAAAGTCCTTGCCTCGCACGTGCCAGGATCCGGCGGGTGCCGGTTCTGATCCCAGCAGCTCCACTTCCCATCCAGCTCCCTGCTTGTGGCCTGGGAAAGCAGTCGAGGATGGCCCAAAGCCTTAGGACCCTGCACCTGCGTGGGAGACCTAGAGGAAGAAGTTCCTGGTCCCTGGCTTTGGGTCGGCGCACCACCGGCCTTTGCGGTTACTTGGGGAGTGAATCATCGGACGGAAGATCTTCCTCTCTGTCTCTCCTCCTCTGTATATCTGACTTTCCAATTTAAAAACAAACAAAAGAAGAGAAGAGTGGCATTCATGATAACTCACTCACTGGCTAATTGCTCACTTTGTAAGGGTGGGGTTCCCAGATGGGCACTGGGACTTGAACCGGTGCCCACGTGGGATGCCAGAGCCACAGGTAGAGGTTTGGCTCCTTACAACACAGTGCCAGAACCTGCTCAACTTGTCATCGAGCTCCCTGTTGCTGACCAGGGAGGGCAGTGGACGATGGCCCCGTGTTTGGTGCCCTGCCAGTCTCTGCAGAGACCTGGATGAAGGTCCTAGCCCCTGGCTCCAGCCTGGCTCTGCCCTGACCATTACAGCCACTTAGAGTGAACTAGTGGCTGCAAGACCTCTTTCTCTGTGGCTCTGAATTTGAGAAAAATAAGTATGTCTTTTATAATAATAACAAATGAATGTCGGGGGGGGTGGAAGAGCACTGTACAGATCAACTGTGCTTCAGCTTTTGGAAAACAGTTAAGATTTATTGGGACTTGGCGACGGAAATACAGAGAAGTGGGTGGATGTTTGGTATAGCAGTGAACCCGTGTGATGCCTGGATGCTATGTCCTGGAGGAGCCTGGCTTTCAAGCCTGACTCTGCTCTGCACTGCCTGTAGCTGCGCACCCGGAAGGCAGCCGTCACTGCTGTTACCTGGGTTCCGGTCACGCGCAGTGGGGCCTGGGTTGAGCTCAGAGTTCCGTCCTGGGACTGTGGGAGTGAAGCGTGAGCCAGAAGATATTTGTGTGTCTGTGCCCTTTAGCCAACAATTCATCCCCAACATCGGCACCAAGCAGTTGTCCCCTTCCCTTCCAGACGTCGTGTTGCATGTGCATGGTGTCGTCCTGATCCTCAGGAAGCCCCTTACGCCCCGTGGTCCTGCGCAGTACAGCTGCTGCAGGTTTCGCTGGCTCGTCAAGAACGGGCCAGCTCCTGCGGGATGAGAATGCGGCGTGCCTTACAGAGAACGCTTTGCACTGACAGGCTAACAGAAGCCTCCCCTCCGCAGCGTTAGGCAACTGGTTTCAGGAGTCCGCTCAGGCACCAGACCCTGCAGCTGTCCACGTCCCTGTAATAAAGTGGTACAGGACCTGCGCATGCTCTGTTGTTTAAGGGGATACTGACAAGACAAGCAGGTCTGTACGCGTGGGGCACTTTTATGTTCTTATCACGTATTTTCAATCTGTAGTTGATAGAGTCTACAATTGGGACATGCTGTGGCTATAGGGACCCACTGCACGTAGAATGAAGTGTCTTTTGGTTGTTTTTCTCCTTTCTAATATTTTATCCATTAGTAAGGCATATTTAAGAGAGAAAGGTTCCCTCTCCAGGTGGTCGCAACAGCAGGAGCTGAGCCAGTCTGAAGCCAGGAGCTTCTTCTGGGTCTCCCACGTGGGTGCAGGGTCCCAAAGCTTTGGGCCATCCTCGACTACTTTCCCAGGTCACAAGCAGGGAGCTGGATGGGAAGTAGAGCATCCAGGATGTGAACGGGCACCCATATGAGATCTCAGTGCTTATAAGTTGAGGAGTTAGGCACTGAGCCATCATGCCATGCCCACCATTTCAAAACAAAACAAAAAACTGGGCCCAACATGGTGACCTAGTGGCTAAAGTCCTTGCCTTGAATGTGCCAGGATCCCATATGGGCACCAATTCTAATCCCGGCAGCCCTGCTTCCCTTCCAGTTCCCTGCTTGTGGCCTGGGAAAGCAGGCGAGGACGGCCCAAAGCCTTGGGACCCTGCACCTGCCTCAGAGACCTGGAGGAAGTTCCTGGCTGCTGGCCTCGGATCGGCGCAGCATTGGCTGTTGCACTCACTTGGGGAGTGAATCATCAGACAGAATTCTTCTCTCTCTCTCTCTCCTCCTCTCTGTACATCTGCCTTTCCAATAAAATAAATCTTTTTAAAAAAGTGTGTAATTACGGTTTGCAGTATATCCATACAGTGCGAACTATCAATACTGGATTTTGCAATTTCTTTATTCCCCTTGTAAAGAAATTCAATTCCGTCCAGCAGTCACACCCCATCAGATTATGATCTGGCTGATAAAATACTCCTCTAACCCTTATCTCCGGGATGTGCTCCTCCCAGTCCTCTCAGCATACCACCCCCACTGCCTACAGCACAACAGGAGGCCCTCCTGCCTACTTCCCCTTAAATCCAACACCTGTGACTACAAATCACGCCTCCGGCCGTGTGAGTACAGACGGCAAAAATGGATGGATCCCCCACCACCTGGTGCTGGGCTTGGCAGCAGAGCCTGGAGACCCAACCCTGCCACCCCAGGCGTCCCCCATGCGTACAGCCTGGACGCTTGGGGTCACTGCACCCTTGTGGCAACCCAGCTGGAGTCCTAGGAGCCCGGCTCAGCCTGCTGAGCCCTGGCCCTTGCAGCCATTGGAGGCAGTGAACCAGCTGCCTCCAGGAAATGGGCTTCCTTTACAGCCTCAATGCTGTCCCCTCCGACGAGACCTCCACTCAACCCTTCCGAGGGTCCCCCTTCTCACCCTAACTCCCCCGCAAAATCTTTCTCAGTCTTCAAGGACCACCTTCCCTCCTGGCTGCCGACTCGCCAGCTCTCGCATCCCTCACACTTATTTCACGCATTTGCACACGCTCAAAACCTGGTAACACATCTGGACCAGGGGTAAAACACTCCATTCCCGCACAGGACTTGGCTCTTCAACCGCCCGTCTCTCCTCCCAACCTGTCTCTTCCCTCTAAGTCGGAACCGGAAATAAGTTAGGGTACAGGAAGTTCCGCAGCCCCGAGAACCCTCCCGATTTGAGGACACCTCGCGCCGAACGGGATCGGGGAGTGGCTGGTTCCGCAGCTCGCGTCCTCCGCGCTTCCTCGCAGGATAAAAAGCCGGCCCCTTCCGGCGCTCCTCTGCGTCCTTGATCCGCCCGGACGCCGGCGGTGACGGCAGCACGCCGGCCGTGACGTCACTACGCCGGGTGACCTCACCCTCCATCATGGCGGCGGCGGTCGATTAGGGCCGCGGGTGGAAGCAGCCGCCGCCGCTGGGGGAGCCGGTCGGGAGCAGCCGCCGCCGCCTGCTGCTGCTTCTGTGGAACAGGGGCCAGGGCCAGGTGAGGGGAGCAGGGCTTCGGGCAGGCCGAGCTGGGCGAGGAGGCGGCTTTCACGTGGGCCTGGCTCAGGAGACTGGCGGGTGCCGTGCGTGCAGGGCGCCCTGTGTGTGTGTGTGCGTGCCCAGGGTGCCCCGTGGGTGTGCGTGTGTGTGCAGGGCGCCCTGTGTGTGTGTGTGTGCAGGGCGCCCTGTGTGCGTGTGTGTGCAGGGCGCCCTGTGTGTGTGTGTGTGTGTGTGTGCCCAGGGTGCCCCGTGGGTGCGCGTGTGTGTGCAGGGCGCCCTGTGTGCGTGTGTGTGCAGGGCGCCCTGTGTGTGTGTGTGTGCGCCCAGGGTGCCCCGTGGGTGCGCGTGTGTGTGCAGGGTGCCCCGTGCGGTGCGTGTGTGTGTGTGCAGGGCGCCCCGTGGGGTGCGTGTGTGTGTGCAGGGCGCCCTGTGTGCGTGTGTGTGTGCAGGGTGCCCCGTGGGTGTGTGTGTGTGTGTGTGCAGGGCGCCCTGTGGGTGTGTGTGTGTGTAGGGCACCCTGTGTGGTGTGTGTGTGTATGTAGGGTGGCCTCTGGGGTGTGTGTGTGTAGGGCGCCCTGTGGGGGGGTGTGTGTGTGTGCAGGGCGCCCTGTGGGGTGCATGTGTGTAGGGCACCCTGTGTGGTGTATGTGTGTGTGTATGTAGGGTGGCCTCTGGGGGGTGCATGTGTGTGTAGGGCGCCCTGTGAGGTGCGTCTGTGTGAGGGGGGCAGTGGACTGGGGTCCGGGCGTAGGCCCTCCCCGCGCATGAATGTTCCCGGCGCTGTTTTTAGGGCCAGGCTGGCGAGTGCAGGCTTGTTTCTGGCCAAGGAAAAAGGTTTTTCATCCAGTTCCCTTGGAGTGCTTATAGCGTAGCGGTTGATCTGCCAGACTTGGTTGTTCTCACATAGATGGTTAGAGATCTGAAGTTTCCCGTGCGTTTATTTCTCAGTAAAGCCTGCTTGTTGTTGTTGTTGCTCTGGGGGCGATTCCGTTCAGACCAAGTCGCTTTTCCTTTGATTTTTGTGCTCTGGCAATGCTGCGGGAGACCCCAGGCTTCTTGCCTTGGTAATCCACCCTGGAGGAGGCTTTAAAATCAGGATGGGTCTGGCAGGTGTTACACGCTGTCGCACTGTTTACGTCTAACCACTCCCAGAACAAGTGCTTTTCTTCATTCAGAACAGCTACGCACAGTGTCTGAATTTTGAACTGGTTACAGTATCAGCTTGTTTTGCTTTATGACATAGAACAAAACTGGAAAGACTTGCGAAACCGTCACTAACATTTTCCCCTGGGTTTGGTATAAGCTGGAGTGTTGCTCTCTGCCCTCACTTGCCGTGTGACCTTGGATGAATTGCCACACCCTTTCAGATACTTTTTAATCCTCCAGAAAGTTAAGGAAGCCATGTAGCTGGCCAGCTGCTTCTGCTTACTAAATGCAGTTGGGGAAACGTGGCCTGCAAGTTTGTGTCCGAGTTGAAAATATTTAAGCCAATATAAACTGTTGTTCATTTGCTACAGGCAAGTTAAGGATTTTGAAATTTATTTTTCCTGTGATCAGCTACTCAATATATATATATTTTTTTTTTCCGAATAGCTCATTTTCTTATGTGGAGATGTTTATGCCAGTACTTGAAGTCAGTAGAAGGATGTGTGTGATGGGGCTGGTGCGTTGGCTCAGCTGGCTAATCCTCCACCTCCAGGCAAGCATTCCATAGGGGCGCTGGTTCAAGTCCCAGCTGTTTCATTTCTCATGCAGCTCCCTGCTTGTGGCCTGGGAGGACAAGGAAGGATGGTCTCAGGGCCTGAGGCCCTGCACCCATGTCGGAGCTGAGCTGATCCGAAGCTATGAGCTTCTGATGGGCTCCGGGTTCCCAGGGCTGTGGGCCGCCTCCTGTTGTGTTCTCAAGCCATAAACAGGGAGCCGAATGGGAAGTGGAGCAGCCAGGATACGAACCCGTGCCCATATGGGGTCCTGGCACTTGTCAGGTGAGGATTTAGCCATTGAGCCATCGTGCCATGCCCAGAAATAAAGAAAAGGGTGTGTGGAGCTGAGTCCATCTACTTTTGTAGAAGACCCAAAAAATGTGCAGTAACACACATCGTTCATGCACCCTATTCATGTCCTGCACATCGTGTTTCGAGGACCAGTGACTGCTGCCGTGAAGTCAATTTTTAAAACGTAATTTTCCATTTTTTTTTTTAAAGTACATTTAGTTGAAAGGCAGGACGACAGAGGAGAAAGAAGGAAGGGAGAGTTTTTTCTGCTGTTTCACTTCCCAGATGGTCGTTACAGCTAGGGCTGTGCCAGCTGGGGCTTGGTCCAGGTCTCCCTGTAGGTGCGGGGGCCTGAGCACTCTGGCCGTCCTCACCTGCTTCCCCAGGCACGTTAGCTGCGGTGGAAGTAGAACAGCTGGGCCTTGAACCAGAGGCCATATGGAGTGTCAGCAGCACAGGGGCCAGCTTAACCCACTGTGCCACAACCCCAGCCCTGAATGTGTTTTTCTACGAAGATAGTTCAGACATATTAGACAGGTTTTTTTTTTTTCCTTTTATTAAACAATTTTTTTTAAAGATTTATTTTTATTGTTTTTTCATTGGAAAGGCACATATATAGAGAGGAGAGACAGAGAGGAAGATCTTCCGTCCGATGATTCACTATTAATCAAGTTTTAAAACTGTATTTCCCTCTTGCTTTTCTCCTTTTCAGACTTGAATTTTAGTCATATCTTCTTCCAAATAAATGGTCACCGAGAGTTCTTGTTTAATATATATTATGGAGTTGGGGCACGGGGCTTCCTTCAGAAGAACATTGATTTCTTAAAAAATTTTTATTTATTTGGTAGCGTTGTGTAGAGAGGGAGAGAAGGGGAGAGCTCTTGCACCTGCTGGTTCACTCCCCATGCCCCGGTGGCCAGAGCTAGGCTGCAGTGGGGTCAGGAGCTGCTTTTGGGTTTACCACGTGAGTGCAAGGGCCCCGAATGCTAGGACTGTTGTGGCTGCTTTTCCAGGCGCATTAGCAGAGGGCCGGATGAGAAGTGCAGCGGCCGGGATTCGAACCGGCGCTCGCGTGCTGTGCCGCTGCTGCCGGCTCCACTGGCCGTGCCACAGCACTGGCCCTAACAGATTCTTAAGAACAGCTTCATTGAAACAAACAAAACAAATGAAAAAAAAACACACAAAAAAAGAAGAGTTCCATTGAAATATAAGTAACATATACAACTCACAGTTGTAAGGTTTGTTAGATTTTATTGTGTCTCCAGAGTTGCACAGCCATTACTGCAAGTTTTCAACACTGCACCTCCTATACCCCCCCCCCAAAAAAAAACCCTGTATACGGATCAGCACACATTCTTTTTTTTTTTTTTAAGATTTATTTTATTTTTATTACAAAGTGAGATATACAGAGAGGAGGAGAGACAGAGAGAAAGATCTTCCGTCTGATGATTCACTCTCCAAGTGAGCTGCAACGGCCGGTACTGTGCCGATCCGAAGCCAGGAACCAGGAACCTCTTCTGGGTCTCCCACGCGGGTGCAGGGTCCCAAGGCTTTGGGCCGTCCTCGACTGCTTTCCCAGGCCACAGGCAGGGAGCTGGATGGGAAGTGGAGCTGCCGGGATTAGAACCCGCACCCATATGGGATCCCGGCGCGTTCAAGGTGAGGATTTAAGCCACTAGGCCACGGTGCCGGGCCCTCAGCACACATTCTTATCTTTGAAAAGCAGAGAGCAATAGTGCATGTGTGAGAGAGAACACGGAGACATTGAAACACCGGTTTACTGCTCAGCAGGGGCGGGGCCTGTGGCTGCAGGGGCGTGGCCGGCGGCTGCAGGGGCGTGACCGGCGGGTGCAGGGGCGGGGCCGGCGGCTGCAGGGGCGGGGCCGGCGGCTGCAGGGGCGGGGCCTGTGGTTGCAGGGGCGGGGCCTGTGGTTGCAGGGGCGGGGCCGGCGGCGGACCTGGAACCCTGGCCCGCTCAGGTGATGCCTGAACTGCTCTGCCAAATGCCTGCCCTGGCACTCGGTGTTTTCACTTAGCCTCCTCTGCGTGGGCACCTGGCCGCACAGCTTTTCTCGATAGATTGTCTTTCTAAGTAGGATCACTTCCTGTGTGATGTTTTCTGATTGGCCCTCTTTCACTCCGCATCACGTTGTGGTAGTTAGCATTTCATCCCTTTTTGGGGCCACATAATATTCATCCTGTGGACCTGTTTTTTTTTTAATTTTTTTTAAAGATTTATTTATTTATTGGAAAGTCAGATATACAGAGAGGAAGAGAGACAGAGAGGAAGATCTTCTGTCTGATGATTCACTCCCCAAGTGAGCGCAACGGCCGATGCTATGCTGATCCGAAGCCAGAAGCCAGGAGCTTGTGCACACCATTGGGAGGACTACTTATTGTGAAAGTCAGATTGTGCGAGAGGGGCGGGTGAGTGAGTTATCTGCCAGTGCCAGCTGCTGAGTGGAAACGTCTGGAAGCTGCTCTTACACAAGATTGGACCAGTGTGTTTGTGTTAGGCGTGTGTAATCGGAAAAGGATAGTCCACACTTCGGCCCAGCGGCTGCTCAGTGGTAAAAGTGACACCTTGCAAAGAAAAAGAAAGACATCTTACTCAACTACAGTTCTCAGCATGGCATGGTGAATTTTTATACACTCGTCATTTTTATTAGGGGTATTTTGTTCCTTTGAAGAGGTTCTAGAATTTAATAGAAGCTAATAAAGAGTGGATTAAACATTACCATTACTGGAATTTATGTTAATTAAAAAAATTTTTACCTACTCAGATCACTCCGTGGCTGAAGATCAACAAACTTTGTTAATGTGCAAAGTTCTGGGTTGTTTTGATTTGCGAGTTTGAATTTTTGTCCATTACAAATTTAGGACTATAGATTTTCTCGAGACTGTGACTACAGGATTTGAACAGTCTTATAATTTGTACATTGGTGGAAGGAAATGGTCTCACAAAAAGCAAAGAAGTTCCTGAAACAATGCAACGGGTTAGAAG